AAATAGAGGAGTACGGCAAAAGCAGCAGCATGCGCCGTAGGACCGGAGGTCCAGCTGGCTGGATTACATAGGTGCCAAGGCAGAAGTCAGGTGGAAAAACAGGCTCTTTATTCACATATGTACTTCTGTGTGGGAAGACTCCTGGCACACAGTGAACCAGCAGGAAGTTGTGCCCAGTCGAGTGTCCTCCCGCTATAGGTACTCCGAGGGAGCAAAATGAAGACCTAACTTTTACATTTCTCCCTGGAGTCTCTAGTATAGTACCTGCTTTAGGAATAAGCAGTGAGGAAGGAATGGGGAGTCTGTTTCCAGGTGCAAACCCCGCCAATAGGCTGGGAGAGATGGAGTTATTGGGAGCAGTACCAGTCGATAGGCTGGGAGAGATGGAGTTATTGGGAACAGCACCAGCCAATAGGCTGGGAACGATGAAGTTATTGGGAGCAGCGGCAGCCAATGGCTGGGAGAGATGGAGTTATTGGGAGCAATGCCCACATTTCGAGTTTGTTGTATAGCATGCAGATTGTGGAGCGGTTAGTGGGGAGGCAAGGTAAGCTGAACAGCCACAGCCCAAGAAGTCATTCCTTCTACTGGAATGGGCTTTCAGAAAGACAGAGACAGAGATACAGAGATACAGAGATACAGACAGACAGACACACACACATACACACACACACACACACACACAGAGAGAGAGAGAGAGAGAGGTGGGAGTGTTCTGGCTGAACTACACCAGGTCTGGCTCCAGAGTGCTAGCACTTAGCCCTAATTCATCTTTTATTTAGCAGACACTTTTGTTTCTCTTGTTACCCTCTATGTGAATCTTGCTTGAGAGTTTCCCAAGGATACAATGCCCATGCAAAACTTCGTCGGGGTGGGGTGGGGTGGGGGTGGGGACGGACAACCCAGACAACTGTGGTACCTCCTGAATCGAGAACTTGCACTTGGTATGGTCCCTGTGGAAGCTTAGTCACATGGACATCAACTGGAAAGGAACAAAAGAGGCCCTGAGTGAAGGAAAGTGGTTCGGAACTTAGAGACAGATCCACCCTGCAGCCAAGAAAGGCTAAAGTCATTCTTAAGGTGCCTCAGAGTCTTCATTCATGTACCCACACCGCAGCAGAGACAAAGAGACAGAGACAGAGCTACAGAGACAGCTACAGAGAGAAAGAGCAAGCCAAGGCTGCTCTGATTAGGGGCTAGAATGTCACATCGAGTTTGATGCAGTTTGAAAGAATAGGAAATGTCTGTATGTGTCCAGAAATGGGATGAGCAGACAACCTCTTACAAGGTTTGTTTGTTTGTTTGTTTGTTTGTGAATGAAAATCTCTGTGTAATTGTATGCCACATGTGTGAAGGTGCCTGCAGAGGCCAGAAGAGGGCGTCGATCGCCTGGAGTTGAGTAATAAGCAGATGTGAGCCCTACACATGGGTCCTGGCCACTGAACTCAGTCCCTCAGCTACAGCAGAGCCACTCTTAACTGCTGAGCTAGCTCTCCAGTCCCAAAGGCCAGTCCCAAAGGTCGTTTTGAAGGATTTGAGGACCAGTCACCAATTTTGGGAGCTTTCTCAATACCTGAGGAAGAGTAGGGTAGAAAGTAAGGATATACATTCCATTTTCCAGCCTCAGTAGTTGGACCTTCATGTACTTATGAAGTGCCTCCGTAAGGCAATTTATAAATGGATCAACCCTCTAAGGGATTGCTTGAATTTTATTTGTTAATTTTATTGATTTTAAAGGGACAGGCCATCACCTAACACATGTCATATTTGACACAGAGAACCAACAGCAGCACTCATGTCTGAGATCAATTCTATCAGTCACCTTTTCCTCGCCATGTAAGGAATAAGGTTTTTCCGCCAGCCATCTGGTCTTGTCCTGCCACCGCACCAGCCCCAATTAACACACTGAGACACTGTATTTGATATAATGCTGTTGGCCAGTTACTAGTTTCTTATCGGCTAGCTCTGTCTTAATTATTAACCCATTTCTATGTATTTCCACGTGGTCTTACGTGGTCTTCTTACTGGGGAAAGGGGCCAGCGTCTTGTCTACCCGGTCTCTCCATCTTGACTCCTCCTTATTCCTTCCTCTTTCCTCTTTGTCTCCTAGTCCCTCCTCTTTTGCTTTCCTATTGGCCAACAGTGCTTTATTCATTAACCAGTATGAGAAACATATTTACATAATGACATCTCCCATCATCGCCATGCATGGCTTTATCCTGATCCACAGGGAGCAGGCAGAAAGAGAGCGAGAGGGAGAGAGAGAGAGAGAGAGAGAGAGAATGGGTACAGCGTGGTCTTTTAAAACCTCAAAGCCCACCCCGGTGACACACTTCTTCCAACAAGGTCACATGTACTTCAACAAGATCACACTTGCTAATTGTTCTAATTCAGTAGTTCTCCATCTTTCTAATGCTGCAACCCTCAACCATTAATTATGGTTACCCCTGAACAAAACATGCTAAAGATCAAAGAGGAGTGGACACCTTTAGTCCCAGCACTTGGGAGGCAGAGGCAGGCTTCAAGGCCAGCCTGGTCTACACTTAGTTCCAGGATAGCCAGGGCTACCCAGAGAAACCCTGTCTTGACAAACAAAACAAAAAAGGGACACAAAGTTGGGAAGAGACGGAAATGGACCTGGAGGAGTCAGGGAGAATAGTTGAGGGTTGAATAGATCAAAATACATTACAGGTGTGTATGAAATTATAAATAATTAATAAAAATACTGCCTACATATTCATATATGGAAATAAGTAAACATGTTTTAAAAAAGGGAAAGAAATAGTGCCTCAAAAAGCAAAACAAAGCAACAAAGAAAGTAGCAACTAAGTTTTACTGTCACCGCCACCCAGCCATATTCAAATGGCGGCAATTTTCTCCACATGCCTCGAACTTCCTTGATTGCTCTCCATTCATCTGTCAGAAGACGATGATTGAGATTTTCCTGTAAGTTTTATGTTATCCTTAAAATACCATCATAATACACACAGATACACACCAACTCTCTGTCTTTCCCTGGTCTCAATAGATAAATAGGTAATGTCATACCGGGTATCTTTCCTTCTGCAACTTGCTTTAACTACAGTGATAATAATAGTAATTATATATACATTAGTATTTGTGTGTATGTGTATATCTGCCATGACCTGTATGGGGAGGCAGAAGATAACATTGGGGAGTCATTTTATTTTTCCATTTTGTTGAGACCCTGTCTCCCTTATTTCTCTACAGGCTAGCTATCTTGTAAACTTTGTCCTCTCTGCCTCCCCATCTCTCCGTAAGAGTACTGAATGGCAGACGTGGGCCACCACATAAGCTTTTTTATATGATTTCTGGTTATTCAACTTAGGCTATCGGGCTTGCCTGGCAAGTACTTCCAGGGGCCACAAGACTTGCTTTTACCACACTTGTTATAAGACTTACTTTTGTTGATAGATGTAGTTCTGGGTTAAGTCATTAGACATGAGAATTGTTTTCCAGTACATGAATATTTACTTCTCTTTCTTTTATTTTTTTCAAATAATTTCATTTTAATAATTAATTATAGTTAATTATAACACATATAATAATTATTATATACAATATACAATAATACAATATAGAATATGTCTAATAATATAATATATAATATGGGGTCAGATATATTGATAATTAGTAATACTTTTTTTGTTTTTTATGTTACTTGTTTTTTAATATATATATTTATTTTTTCTTATTTTACATATTGATCCCAGTTCCCACTCCCTCCCTCCCATGCCTCCTGACCCCCTCCCATCTTATACCTCCCCACCCACTCCACAGGGAGGGTGATGCCTTCCAGGAGGGATCATCAAAATCTGTCAAGTCATTTGGAGTAGGGTCTATGCCTTCCCTCCTGCCTCTAGGCTAAGGGAGTATCCCTCCATGGGGAATGTGCTCCCAAAGTCTTTTCTTGCATCAGGGATCCATCCTGGTTCCACTGTCAGAGGTCCCTTAGACTGCCCAGGCCTTCTAACCACATTTAAGGGTCTGAGTCAGTCCAATGCTGGTTTTCCAGCTATCAGTGTGGAGGAACATGAGCTCCCCCTTGTTCAGGTCAGCTGTCTCTGTGGGTTTCTGTAGCCTGATCTTGACCCCTTTTCTTATCACTCCTCTCTCTCTCTGCAACTGGATTCCAGGATTTCGGCTCAGTGTTTAGCTGTGGGTGTCTGCTTCTGTTTCCATCAGCTACTAGATGAGGGCTCTATGATGCCATATAAGTTAGTTATCAATCAGGGAAGGGCATTTAAGAGAGCCTTTCTACTGTTGCTCAGATTGTTAGTTGGGGTCAGTCTTGTAGGTCTCTGAAAATTTCTCTAGAGTCATTTTTCTCTTCAAACCTATAATGGCACCCTCTATTATAGTATGATTCAGTGACGTCAGCACATTCATAAATCACAAAGATGTGCCAATCTTCAACACAAATTCCACAAAGCTTAAATCACCCTGGCCCCCCTCAAAAGACAAAAAACTCATCACCAGTCACTCCCTGCAGTATCATGTTTTCGAGATTCTCATGCTGGATTGTATGTCAGGACTTTATTCCCTTGTATTGATCATATGCCATTGTGTGTACGCACATAATTTGATTTACCCATTCATATTTGGGTCGCTTCACTCTTAAACCTCCTCAAGACAGAAAAATAACATTGTGAACAGCTTTTCATATGCATCCCATCGTCTTTCACATTAGTGTCTCACTTCAGGTTAAAGCGGGACACAAGGAGAACTCCCTTTATATCACTAGATCGCCCCAGTTTCTGCTCCTAAGCCTTGGGCGCACAGGCGCACGTTCATAGAGCGGGAGGTGGGGGGTGTGTCCCGCCTCCGCCCACTAACTAGCCTACTCTTCTGAAACTCTCGCCGGGTAGGGGAAATGCAACCAATCCGCAAATGTGTCCGGGAAGCGGCGCTCCGCAGTGGTTGATGAAGTCTGATGACGTACTCGCCTTCCTATCGTCACGCGAAGGGCTGGGCTAGAGTCAGCTGGTGAAACCACATGACCCGAGCCTGGGGCCGGAAGCTACCTATCCGGTAGACGGCTCCCCCGGCACCTTCGACAGCGATGGTGAGTGAGAACGCATGCGCAGGCGTGCACGTCTAGGGTTCTACGTACCCGTTCCCCAAGCTTCGGTTGCCCCCTTATGGCCCGCACTCCGCTGTCGCGTTCTGGGACCGAAAGGGAACGGAGATGGGAGGGATGCGACAGAGAGAGATGGAGAAGGCTCAATCACCGGGTGTTCTGCGGCTGGGGAATAGTCTAGATGGCACAAGGGGCGGAGCACAAGGGACTGGAATGAGTAGGGCCGCGAGGAGGGGCTAGGAAGGCCTCTTGGGTCGCCTACTTGACAAGTAGAAGGGCTCGGGGGCTCAGTAGTGACCGCGGATGGAGACTCAGTGTTACAAGCCACTTGGAGGGTCTAGAAGGGCCATATCCAGGAGAAAGATGGGTCTGCAAGGCTATCAATCGTCTCACCCCTTGCTTCTTTACCCACTAGACTTCCGCACTGACCCAGGGGCTGGAGAGAATCCCAGACCAGCTTGGCTACCTGGTGCTGAGCGAAGGTGCAGTGCTGGCGGTGCGTTGTGGGAAAGCGAGGCGTGCGCGCTGGGCGAGGGCGGGACGGGGTGTGTGTTGGGGGCTGGGGAAGTGTCCTTTTGAGACATACGGTCCAGAAATCCCTTCAAATATTGCCCAGTTTGTCCCAGTGGTCTGATTTTTGTCCTCTGTCTGGCTCCCTGCTTGCCATACAGTAAGCTTTTAGTAATTAATGTCTGGAATCCAACTCTCTTGTTTTATGGTATAAAAGAGGTTACCAAAGGGCTGGCTGGGTATGTAGCTCAGTGCAGAGAGTTTATTTGCTTAGCACTCACAAAGTCTTGGGTTCAATTCCCAGTACTGCATAAAACCAAACATGGTGGGACATAACCCATCATCCCAGCACATGAAAGGTGGAGACAGGTGGATCAGTAGTTCAAAGCTACATGTTACCTTGCCTCAAAAAAATTTTTTTACTAACTTTTCTAAAGTCATACAATTAGTTCCCTGATAACTAATCACTTGTAGTATGTTTTTATTTTGTGTATCTTTAAAATTCACATGAGGGCACATATGGGTATCACTGCTGGTGAACGTCAGAGGACAACCTTCAGGAGTGAGTTCTACTTCCAACATGTGGGTCCTGAGGATTGAACTTGGGTCATCAGGTGTTGAAGCGAGCACTTTTATTTCACCTGCCCCTAGAATTTTTTTTTGGGGGGGGCAAGAATTCTTTAGAGGCAGGGATTCAGCTGAGCTGCAAGGGCAGAAAGCTGAGAATGAGGAAAAGAACACTCAGAGCTGGAAGTTGGACATAATTGCCTGAGTGTGTCAGGCCCTGTCTGGGTTAGTTGTGGGTTTGTGTTGGAACGGTTTGAGCAGGAAGGATAATGTGGTAAGAATCTTACAGTGGTGAAGGACTTCCTATGGCTAGCTTTGACATCTTTGCATGAATCTTGAGGGTTATCTAAAACAAAAACATGACTCACGCCATTGGTTTTACAGGACTTTTCAGGAGTGGCAATAAGGAACAAGGACAGAACACGTTGTATCTATTTTTTAGTGTGTGTCTGAACATGTGTGCACAGATGTGTGCCCATGCATGTGCTGAGTCCGGTGCAAGACATTGGAATCCTGCTCTTAGCACTCTCTGCCTTATTTCTCCAACCTGGAGCTAGACTGGCAGCCCTGAGCAAACCCCAGCAATCAACCTGTCTGTGTCCCCACAGTGCTGGGGTTACAAGTGTGGCCATGCCTAGCTGGGGATTTGAACTCATGTTCTCTTGCCTGTTTGTACAGCAAGTGCTCTTATTCACTAAGCCATCTCCACAGCCCAGAGAATGTATCTTAGAGGTGTTAATGTGTTGGTAATAACTAGATGAAAGTAGTTCTGCAGGTACATTACCTTTCTGAAGTACTCATCCAGTAAGACTTTGAACCGGGAAGACCAGAAAAATGCTTTGGTGCCTGAACAAATAACTCAGGAAAGGAAACTGACCAAGGAGGTAGCTAAGGGAAATTTTGATGGCCTGACTACAGATACTGAGTTTAAGGTGGACTGATAGAAGTTATATAGAACATTTATTATGGGGGTACATAATGCTCTCATTGTTTTCTCTCGAACCTTCACAAGGCCATAAAATAAGTCCTGCTGACCCCAATATACAGATGAGGAAACTAAGAGCAAAAGGAACTAAGCCTAGTGATGGGCCCATGTAGAAGTGGTGGGAAGAGGAAGTTGAGGCAGTCTGGACTATTTACCCAAGCAGTGGCCTGAGGGAAAGCTTCAAAGACAAGTGGGTGTTTCTGCTTCATAGCCTACAGACAGGACAACTAGTGGGAAGACTGGGAGCAGACAGAGCCTTTAAAGACTGGGCACTTAGCTCAGTGATGGAACATCTGCCAGAATCCTAGGTGAGGAGCTGGGGTGTGGCTCAGTGGTGGAGAACCTGCCTAGAGAGGCTGGGGGTGTGGTAGCTCATTTGATGAACACACCCAGGGTTTTGATCTCCAGCATGGATACCACCAGTAGCGTTGCAAGTAAAGCCTGGTATTTCAGGACAAAAAAAAAAAAAAAAAAAAAAAAGGATGGCACAAGGGAAGGCAACACCATCATAAAGAAGTTTTAGGTAAACTTTTTCTAATGCTGGCTAACTTGAGATGATGGGAGACCATAACAAGTATGGGAGTCCGATGTCCTGTGCCTTGAATTTGTTCCAAACTCTGGGCTCTTACTTTTTGCTCCTACCCTCCTCCATCCACATGCAGTCATCTGGGGACCTTGAGAACGATGAGCAGGCAGCCAGTACCATCTCAGAGTTGGTCAGCACAGCCTGTGGCTTCCGGCTGCACCATGGCACGAATGTCCCTTTCAAGCGCCTGTCTGGTGAGCTCCTGCCTTTGGTGGAGGTATGGGGAGGGTTGCTTCTAGAGGCTTCTCTGCCTTCCTGGGGTCCCTGGTTCAACTGCTGCCTTCAGTAACAAGAATGAGAAGGGGTTTGCACAGCCACCTCTCCTCTGTGAACTGCATAATTACTTTGTCCCATCCCAGCCAATTTTGCTGTGACCTCCATGGAGGCAACTGCACCCACTAACTTTGCTTTCTTCCCTTTCCAGTGGTCTTTGGTGAACACACGCTGCTGGTGACTGTGTCCGGACAGAGGGTGTTTGTGGTGAAGAGGCAGAACCGAGGCCGGGAACCTATTGATGTCTGAGCTGCTGAAGGCTCTGGCTGGAGAAGTGGACTGTTGCTAGGCCCTGTGATGGGGACCTGTCCCCTACCTTTCTCGCTGCTGGAACTGGGCCTGTCCTTGCCACCTCCTCACCCCGACTCAAGGCACAAAGGCTTAGTGATATCTATGTTAAGGGAAACTATGGCAAGAGGGTCCCCTCCTTTCTGCCCTTCTGCATAATAAACAGCAGTCCCACCCTTCTAGGGCTCAGGATGTGTGCACAGAGTGCTTTGTTTGGGTGGGGCTGAGGTCATAGCTTGTGTGACCTGTCTTCCACCATCTATGGAGACAGCCATACCTCAATCCATCAGTGGGACAAGACCACCACCAGGCATCACAGAACTGAGAACTGGAGCCAGGTGTGGTGCACATCTGTAATCCTAGCACTTGAGATGCACGTCAGGAGCAGCAAGGTCCAGACAGTCTGGGCTGCTGCATAGTGGTTTCAAGGCCAGTCTAGGGTGTTTCAAAATAACCAAAGTCGGTAAAACTAGGGGTTGGAGAACCACGGATGAGAAGGCAGCTGTTTGTATACTGAAGGTGATCTCTCCTGTGGTCAACACATAGACAACACTCATACTCCCTCCTGAACAGCTTTTAATAGTTTTACTTCAGTTGGATGATGGAGTCAGAGAATAAGTTACAGGAACAGACAAAAAAAAAAAAAAAAAAACCAAGAAAAATGGAACTTAAAGTGCTTTAGGCTGCCAACGTAAACATAAGTGGCAGAAAGAGGCCACCTAGCTATGTCCCCAACCCCTGAGACAGGAGAGTCATTGTCAGGGTCCCTTTAACCACTACCACCCTCTAATCTCAGCCCTGCAGGTGGGTGGAAGGGAATTTCAGAGGCAGGGAAGGACTGAACAGGAATGAGAATGTTCTGTAAACTCGGGACAAAGTGAAGGGTGGGGGCAAGGGTGCACCTGGAGCCCTTGCCCTGCTGGGGTGGGGCCAGCCCCCCCACAAGAACTTGGGGAATACTGTTGGCTGAGCTGCAGACACGCCGCTCATTTCACAGCTTCTGCCCTCATCTCTCACCAGCAGACACAGACAGGCAGCTCTGCAGGGCCTCTCTGCCTACAGTGGGAGGCCCAGCCTAGGAATAAGGAGCCCTCCGGGGGCTGAGGGTTTGGTTTCTGGAGTGCACGGAGCTGAGCGAGCAGATCGGTACTACTTGACGGGTTCCACCACCAGGACTTTGCACTCGCGCTTGGCAATCTTGTCTAGAGAAAGCACAGCCTTGTCCGGGGGCAGGTAGAGGGGACGACCCACGGGGGAGGCCACAGGTGGTGTGATGGCCCTGCGCTCCATCACGCTGCCAGACCTGGAGGAAGACAGAGGCTGTGGGCTCTGGGAGGGTGTGGCATCCCTCCCAGCGCCCCTCTTGGTCAAACTGACACCAGTCCAGGATCGTACCTCATGAGGTGGCTACGGGAAGGCTGTTGGTGGGAGAAGGACTGCGAGCGGCCTAGGCTGGCCTGGTGCCTCTCCACCAGGTCCCGGACAGCAGGGCTGCTGGGGCTACTCTTGCGAGACAGGGGTCGGGCCTCGGGCGGAGGGTGGGACACACTGGCAGTGAACTGGAGCTTCAGTTTCATGTGCTGGCTCAGCTGGGTAGGAAGATGCAGACCTTCACACAGACCCAGGGTGGACTGGGCTTCCAGCTTCCCTGCGCCCAGCCTTTAGTGCCACCCAAGACATTTATTAACCCCTCTAGAAGCTAGGAAGCCCCAACTGTTCCACCCAACACTGGGCCCACCTCAAAGAGCCCGGTCCTCAGGGCCTGGAAGGCCACACTGAAGGTAAGTGCACTGCCCTTCCTGGAGAAGCCAAGGTTATTGAGGGGTGTGTGGCAGACGATGGAATCTAGGGCTGCTTGCATAGCCCGCCGCTCTTCCTCACACAGTTGCTTTCCTGGGGACAGAAACAGGTACCGGTGAACACTGGACAGCTTTCCTCAGCTCCCATAGGTCTTTGCCAGCTTAGGGGCATTTAATTCGCAAGGCGCTCTGTGGAGTAAACTGAGTAAATGTTATATTTTGCTCAGGGTTATAGACAATGGTAGTTAATGTTGTGTGCCGGGGTGTGTTCTAACCAATATTGTGCACTAACTCGTTAATATGCATAACAAGCCATGAGATGTTATTTCCTCAGTTTTAGAGAGGATAGAAGCCCAGAGAGATGAAGTAATTTACCAAGCTAGGAAATGAGTGGGTAATAGAATTTGTATCAGAAAGCTCAGATCCAGTGCCTCTGCCCACTGCCTACCTTAATCCCCATCTGTGACCCTGGATGACTAGCCAGGTACTCAGCACAACCATCCAGGTATTGCAGTCACCCACTGAGGTGGGGCTGGCGTTACTTTGAACTGTTCTCACTATCCTATCTTTCCCTGACCCTCCCAGGGGACGGGATCTCAGCCTGGCAGGGGACCCACCAGCCTGTGCATGTTCCGGGGTCCACACAAGCCTCACGGCTAGGAAGTCTTGGAGGTTGTTGAGCAGCGTGTAGGTGACAGTGAACCGCTCGTAGGTCCGAACAGGGGATTCACAAGAAGCAGTCATCACAAAGCAGGGGCGGTCTAGGCGGACACTGGGCAGGCTAGGAGCAGTGGAAGAGGAAGCTGGGTGGATGTGTTAGGCAGAGGTGAGCAGAAAGTGCCTGGTGGGCCTCCACATACTCACCGGTAGTGCGTGTAGATGCTCTGGGTGAAGGGCAGTTTCGGGGTGGACCACTGAACCACGGCAATCAAGGGGACTTCAAGGCCCTGCCGACAGGACAAAGGGAGACTTCCATGTTAGAGCTTTCTTCTCTTAAGCCCACAGCCATTCCCTTCCACTGTCTTCTTTGAGACTGGTCTCCAACTCCTTACATAGCTGGGGCTGACCTTGAACTTCTGAGCCTCCTCCTATCCTCCCAAGTACAAGGGTCGCAGCAGGCACATGCCATCACATCTGATTTGAGCAATGCTGACAGCAGAACCCAGGGTTCTGTGTTCCGTAGGCAAGCACTCTACCAACTGAACTGTATCTCCAGTTCCCACCATTCCCATCACTCCTGTGAACACACCAGCTCACCTCCTTGGCCCCCGCAGGGGGCTGCTCACCCCCTCTCAGCTGAAACAGGAAGTTGTGTTCCTCTAGGGCACTAAGTGGACAAGGGAAGTAGCCAGAGGTACCAGGAAGCCGACAGAAGGAGCCCATGGACACTTCACCAGACTGGTGACTAGTTCAGAAGAATGGAAGGCAGTGCATGAGCTTGTCATGTCCCGTCTCTGTCCCCACCACTCAACAGTCCTGGCCCTCCCCAGGACCTCACCAGACATTGTCCACCAGAAGTACAGAGCCATCAGGCATGACAGGTAGATAACTGGCATTGAAGTTGGGGAGGATGCGGATATCCCAGATGGAGATCTCCTCCTGGGAAGAGCTGTTCAGCACTGTGTGGTAGAACCAGCCAATTCAGAGTAGTGAGACCCCACCCTCACCCCCAAACCCACCTTTACCTAGAATAATGGACCCAGCACGGCCCTCCAATCCACTCCCTTGCTGCATTTCAAGCCTTGAGCCAGCAGATCTGCTCACCCTTGAGCACAGTCAAGTGTTTTCCAGCCACAGTGAACTGCCGGCATTTCAGAACTGGAGGGGGAAGCAGCGTCAGCAAGGTGCTCACTGCAGAGGGGATGAGACAAGAAATCAGACCTCTACCTTACACTTCTTGCCTTCCAGTGCGGCCCCTCTAATCTACCCCTCCTCCAAACTCCAGCTCTCCCCCTCTCCCCTACCTTGGGCCTTGAAGGCGCTCTGTTCACCACGGAAAGTCTCCCCAGGAGATCGAGTCTGTAGCAAGCGCAGGTAGCCTTGATCCCTGACTTCCGGTGCCTCGACCTCCCGCTTCCACACGGTTACTACAATCTAGGTACAGGAGTCATCGGGCCATGATCAGGACTGACAGACGGGTCTTGAAATGTCGTCCGAATTATAGGGCAACACCTTTAGCTTTGTCACCCTACCTTGGCCTTGGGTGTCCCTGGGGGCAGTCTATCCAATGAAACAGTGAGAGGGAAAATGACCTCATCTGTGGACACGATCGGCTCTTCCACAGGCAGCTAGGGGTTGTGAAAAGGGTGAAGAAGTCAGGAGGCTACCAAAGACGCAGGATCCTTCAACCCTCTGCAAGACAGGGCAAGCCTTTATGCCCTCCCCTCTGTCTTAGGTCCCTCTACAATGCTGTCATCTGACTCCTGCGGCAGGTCCCTAAAGAGTCCATGCCCCAAACTGCCTCTGTTGCCCCAGCAAACCTCCCCTCAGCCCTGTCACCCAGAGATCCTCACCGTGGTCGCTCCCCCTGAGGTAGCAGGGCCCGGGCCGTGGGTGAGAAGGGGGCTGCAGCCTCGAAACAAGGCCCCGCCCCCTGGGTCCCCTCCCCCCGGGGGCTCGGCATCCGGGTCGCCGGCGCCGCCGCTCCCTGGCAACCCCCCTCCGGCGCTGACCGAGGCCAGGGCGGCCAGGGCAGTCGCCAGCTCGGTCCAGGCCCCTCGGGATGCCAAGCCCGTGCCTCCCCCGACGCCGGGCCCCGCGCCGCCCCGGCAGCGCAGCACCAGCAGGAAGCGGACTGTCTCCCCCAGGTATAGATGGTTGCGCCGGGGCAGCGTCCGGTACCGGCCCGGGTCCCCAGCCAGCTCGGCGCGTGGCGGCAGCGGCACGGCCGGGAAATACATCGAGTAGTCGCATTGGGACTCCATTGGGCGGGGAAGGCGACGCCAACCGAGGCCGGGCCGGTGGGGAGCCGCGGGGCCGGCGGGGGCTCGGCCGGCGAGTCCCGACACCCGAGGGCCGCTGCTCCGCCCGGCAGCGGGAGACACCCGCCCGGCCCGGAAACCGGGGGAACGAACCCGGAACACAGACACAGCGGCGCCGGAACTGGGGTGCAGAGCAGAATGACTGGAGAAAAACCGGAAGCGGAAGGAAGGGGGCGTAGCCAACAAGGGTGCATGGATGGGGCACAGGGGTGAGGTGCTGAGGAATTTGTAGGTGACTAGATAGGGTTCTTTGGGTAGAATTTATTTTTATTTGCCCCTCCTCCTCCCTTCCTTCTTTTCCCCCTCTCTTTTCCCTCTCTTCCTTGCTCGCTTCCTTAATTTTCTCTTTCTGCCCCCCCCCCACTCTTCTTTGCTTTTATGACAGAGTTTCCTGTAGCCCAAGCTGACCTTAAACTCCCTATCTGGGCGAGGATGAATTCAGATTTTGATTCTCTTGCCTCCATTCTCCGGAGTGCTGGCATTACAGGTATGTGTCATCAGGTACTCCGCCGTGCATTCGAGGCAAGCACTCGACCAACTGAGCTTAACCCTCCCCCCCCCCCCCGGTCTTTTTCTTGAATTTTTGTTGTGGTGGTTGTTTATGGTGGTGTGTGTGTGTTACTGGCATGCCTGAGCCTCAGCCTTATGCTAGTCAGTCGTTTTACCAATGGGATATATTCCTAGCCTTGAAGAAATATTAAAAGAAAAGAAAGAACCCTTTCCAGTTCAATTTCTGTCCAACGAAAGATTCTTCATCACTTCCGCCCTTGAGAGCCCTACATAAAACAAGCAACCGGGAGCTGGAGAGATGGCTCTGAGGTTAAGAGCACTTGCTGTTCATGCAGAGGAACAAGGTTTGGGTCCGAACACCCACGTGGTGGCTCACAATCATTGGTAACTCCAGTTCCAGGCATGTATGTGGTGTACATTTACCCATGCAGGCAAAACACTGGTTCACAAAAAATAAACCTAATCATTTTTTTAAAAAAATAAGTAAACGTTTCATATCATTTATTCATCCAACAAATATTTTCACAGTGAAATCAACACAGCTCCCCAACAAATATTTCATAGAGAAATGGATATACCATATCCTAAACTTTCTCTGGCTCACTCCTTTGCCCCTCCAGGGGGCTTTGGGGGAACTGCTACATAAATCTACTTTGAGGCTGGAAGAAACAAAGTGGGCATCTGGGGGTGGGGGAGCAGATGTTGCTGGAATTCCTACAGAAAAGCCAGACAACTCCAGTCTCACCTTAGAGCAAACTTCCTCTTCCTTCTGAGGGAAGCGAAGATGCATCTTGTGTCTAATTTGTAATCCAATACCTATGGGGACAGTATCCTTGATGTCTTGAGAGGCAGGGAGACTGTAGGGGGAAACTGCTTGGCATCAAGTTTGTCTTTGTACTGTAGCTCAGGGGTAGCCAAGCGTTCACATTCCTCTTGATCTTTCTGGCTCAGTCCACTCTGAAGTACATAGCCCAAAACCTTAGCTGAACCAAACTGGAACGGACGGAGCCTTACATCGGTGATGTATTTGGGGTCTAAAGCCTCACCTCCCATCAGGCAACGTTTAGCCAGAGCTTCTCTTCGAGCACGGAGCTCAGCCACAGCACGTTGCAGTCGTCTCTGGCCATATTGTTCTATCCGTGCCCACAGACTACGGTTGAAGTGATTATACAGAGCCCAGTCTAGGTTATTCCACGCTCGGGCCCGTGCAGTCAGCTGCTGCTCTTCGTTCACCACACTCTTATTGGCAGCACTGAGCCTCTGCTCACTTCCGGCCTGAGCATTGTGCATGAAGCCCACTACATCATCCAGACCCCAGCACAGGGCATCTGCCAACAGAACCAATGACTCGTCAAAGTATTCGGCCACCATGACCAAGTCAAAGACTGAGTCTAACCAGGCCAAACCCCACTGGATAAAAGATGAGGGCCCAAAGTCTGAAGAAACAAAGCTGGCTGGCTGTTCATGACTATTAGCAACTGTGGTCACAGGCTGGAAGAGAGTTCCAAGGCCAGCACTAGAAGGCACAATATGTAACTGGAGGGGATTGGGGTCTCTGGGTAGATGTGGACTCACTCTCGTCTCTGGGGGGAAGGGCAAACCAAAGTCGAACCATAGTAAGTTGCGGGCATAGTGGTTGCCACGGCCCCCGGGTCTGTAGAAGGCTCGAGGATTGGACAAGAAGGCAGCCAAAGATGGTGCCTTTCGGAAGGCCGATGAGGTTGACTTATAATAGGAGAAGGCAGAGCGTGCTAGAGCCGCTGGATCTCGGACAATGGAAAAGAAGAAGCTGTCAGAAGGCATGACCTGAAGTACCTGCAGAGGAGAAAAAGAGCTTGACTAAGGAGAGAATAAGTACAAGCTAAGGCTCTGGTGAGCCCTCAGAACACTTAGCTTCTCTTACTCGCTGGGAGATCTGTGTGTGTGTGTGTGGGGGGGTGGTTATGTAACACCCCTGAGACTCAGTTTGCTTGTCTGCAAAAGGGAAGTAGTCACGGGGTACCCAGGTGACTGAGATGAATACATGAGGTAGCAGCTAGTCAGAAATTCAGAACACACAAAGCTCCTCTAGATTATTAATTTCCTTGGGTCTTTGTGTCTTCTTTAGTTTATGAATACTCTCAAACCTGGGGAAATGGCTCAGTCAACAAAGTGTTTGCCACACAAGCAAGAGGAACCAAGTCCATACTCCCTGTACCCACATAAAAGTCAGGCACAGGAGTGCTCACCCATAAGCTCTGTGCCAAGGAGGCAGAGACAGGTAGAACCCTGGGAGATGGCTGGCACACACCTAAAACCTATAAGAACCAGACTTTGTGTTTACTCCTACAACAAAAATCTATTTGTATTGAGTTTTTGTTTGTGTGGGTGCCCTTGTGCATGTGGACTTGGGGGGAGGGTCATTTCCTCAGGCAGGGAGCTCCAGGGACTCAGCTGCCTGTCCTCTCAGTGCTGAGAACACAAGAGCCTGCTACCATGCCCAGCTTTCTTACATGGGCTCTGGGAGTCAAACTCAGGCTTGCACAGTAAGCATTTTACTCTGTCTCCCCAGCCCTGCTGGGTTTTGAGACAGGGTGGCGCTTACGCAGCCCAGGTGATCTTGAACTCCTGCCTCAGCCACCTGAGCATTGTAATTATAGACAGGTGCCAGCATGGCCATCGTGCATTCACACACACACACACACACACACACACACACACACACACACACACCGAGAGAGAGAGAGAGAGAGAGAGAGAGAGAGAGAGAGAGAGAGAGGAGAGGAGAGAGAGAGATCAAATGCCTTTTCTGGGACTCTTGGTCACAGCTTCAAGAAAGCAACTGGCCTTGAGGCTCCTCAGGATGGAAGGAGGGGGACAATAGTAGCAGCGGTTGTATTCTCAGGCCAGTCTAAGATGATTGCCACACAAGGCTCTTCTGGAGCTCCTAAAGATCTTGGAGGAAAAAAGACACCCCTGAAGTAGTGCATTTGGGGTGGGCGTGGGGTTGTGCTGGAAAATGGGTAAGACTAAAGTCTGGGATGTGTCTCTTACTCAGCAGGTAACTGGGGAATCAGGCTGAGTTGTGTTGTGGCATGGCCCAGCTGACTGATTGACATGTTAGTCACTGAAGGTTTCCTCCCTGATAATGACTTTTATCATGGAACCTAACCTTTCTCTACCACAGTGGCAGTTGGTAATAAGTCTGTCCTTAAGGGAGTTTTTAAAATTAGGATCAGGGGATGGACAGATGGTTCACTGGTTAAGATCTTATATACTGCAATTTTGAGAACTAGTTCCCAGCACCCATAATGAGGTATCTCTACAAATGTCTGTAAGTCTACCTCCAAAAGGGGCAGAGACAGGAGGATCACTGAGGCTTGCTGGCTTCCAGCCTAACTGAAAACCTAGCCCCACGTCCAGGAGGGACCCTTGTCTCAAAGGAACAGAGAATGATACCTGAAAACCTCCTGCTACCCTTTCTAAGCCTCCTTGTACATGCATAGGCATATAGAATAGTCTCTCTCTCTCTCTCTCTCTCTCTCTCTCTCTCTCTCTCTCTCTCTCTCTCTCTCTCTCTCTCACACACACACACACACACACAAATAAATAAATCCTTAGATGAATACATTAAATAAGTTTGGCTCAATCTCCAAAATGATATTAGGAACTTAGTTGGAATTTAAGGTGTTGTGCTGTGCATCTGGAAACTATATGAGCAAGCCCCCAAATCCGCAACAAGGTATCTGTCAGTCTTTAACCATTCTTCCCAAAAGAGAACAAATGGTTACATTTCTCATAGTGTGAAGAAATGTCATTCCCCAAACTCCTATCTCCTCCTCAACTCTGCAGGAGGCTGCCAGAAAACAGATGGCCATTCACATTTCATTAAGTGAAGATTTAAGAGTGGGGGCACAGGATAGACTGAAAGTTTACTGACCGGGAGGGGGGGCATTGATTTTTTTTTTTTTAAGTAGCTATGATAGGCTGGAGAGATGGCTCAGTGGGTAAAGTGCTGTGCAAGTGTGAGGACCTGAGTTTGGATCTCCATGTAAATAAAGTTAGATGTAGTAGCATGCCTCTGTAATTTCCAATGGAGAGATGGTAGGTGGAGACAGGGAAGTCCCCAGAAGCCCACAGATCAGCTACCTGGAGTACATAGCCACAGCCTGCAAAAAAGAACCTGTCTCAGATGAGGTGGAAGGTGAGAACTAACACAAGGTTGTCCTCTGACTGCCACACACTCACCATAGTACACACTTGCCTGTGTCACAGTTATTGACACACACATCCTATAAGCCAAGATTTTTTTTTAAAAAGGATTAAGGCTTTCCTTAAGTGGATTTTTAATTTTCTTCATTAATATAGGCAATGGCCATAGGGCAAAGCAGAAGGTAGTTAACTGTCCCTGGCATCAAAATAACTGTTCCCAGTTCTACCATTTGCTCCTTGTGTGACTTTGGTATTTCCCTGATGTTATCAGCACCTTTGTTTCTTCGGGTCTAAATCTGGGTTAGTATATGGAAGAATGTGGAAGTGCCTGGAACATGATAGGTAGTTCATGAATGGTGTTGACCATGAAGGTCATCTCTCAGCCATTAGAGGAACTTAATTCAGGGATCCTTGTCACTGTCCCACTCTTAACAGTAGCTCCTCATTATACAACAGTGGCCCCTTGCTGGCCCTAACATCGTACAATCCTGTTTGCCTTGAGCAAGGGTGTACAGGATATGGTGGCTCACCACATGTAATCCTAGCCTTTGGAAGGCTGAGGAAGGAGAGATAGCTGAGAATTCAAGAAAAGCCCAGAGTATATAGTAAGAGCCTATTTCAAAATAAAGTGTTTGGGCCATTTCTGCTATTCTAGTAACTGTGCACACTCTCCTGATACACACGTGTGTAATATATGCATAATCATGTCTTTGTGATGGTTTGCTTCCTCTAAGAATGCCCAGTCTGGGCTGCAAATATAGCTCAGTGGTAAAATACTTGCCTAGCATGTCTGGGGAATCCCTGGGTTCAATCCCCAGTACTTCATTAACAAACAAACAAACAGACAAACAAAAAACACCAAGAATATTTGGTGTTTACTGGACATTGTGGCTCACACCTACAATTCTGGCACTCTGAAAGCCTGAGTTAAAGAACTACCATGAGTTTTAGGACCATTCTGGGCTAATGGAATGGTGAGTGTCATAATGGTAACTATCCCTCCCAAAGAGTGTCTGAGCTAGAGAACTAGCTCACTTTGTAGAGTGCTTGCCTAGCATTCACAAAGGGCTGGGTTCCATCACCACCACAGTATAAACTGATGGTGGTTTGTGCATATCTGATGGGAGATGTCCTTCTGTACATATGTTTCTCTTATTGGTTGATGAATAAAACACTGATTGGCCAATAGGCAGGCAGGAAGCATAGGCGGGAGGGAGAGAAGGTAGAGAATGTCCTTTAAAAGAAAAGAAGTAGTGTGGTGGTGCATGCCTTTAATCCCAACGCTAGGGAGGCAGAGGCAAGCAGATCTCTGTGATTTCAAGGCTACCCTGGTGTACAGAGTGAGTTCAAGGGCAGCCAGAGTTACACAGAGAGGCCCTGTCTCAAAAAACAAAAAACAAAACAAAACAAAACAAAAAAGTAAAAGAAATAGAGTAATTTTTTAAAAAGTCACATAAAGATGGAAAATACACAGAGTCTGGGTACTGTATGCTATTGTGTTGTCTTTGAATTGTTTTGTTACTGAGTAAAGAGCAACAGCTGCTAAAAGACATTTGATTATATATACTGCTAGATTAAGCCAATTTACATATTTTTAAAATGCCTTGTGTTCAAATTTAAGTCTAAGGACATGTTACTTTGGAAAGAGATTTTGTTTTTGTTTCCACAAAAAAAAAAAAAAAAAAAAAAAAAAAAGAAAGAAAGAAAGAAAGAAAGAAAAGCTGTGGATTCCTTCAAGACTAATATGGTTTGATCAAGCAATATCCCCTAAAGCAATTGCCCAGGTGATCCAACATCCAAAACAGTTGAGATGATACAGCCTCAGACTACTACAGTCAGGATTTGGCCATGTTTGTGGGTCTTCTAAGGATCCCCATGGTAGCCCAAACAGCAGGAAGCAGTTAGGAGAGAATGACACCCAAATTCCCAAATATTGTTTATAAATGTTTGTTTTCATTTAAACAGGGTTGGCTATAAATGGTTATTAATCACAGTCAGTCCTTCTAAAGAAAAAAGGGGAATATGATATAGAAATGAATATTTTGTATTGGTATGAATTTTGATTTATTGATACACATTTAAGGTCACTTTTGTTATATGTTTCTATTCTTGTTTAGATATTGTGTTTATATAGCTCATTTAAAATGTAATTTATAATTAAATACAGATTACATATAATCATCTATAATAGTCAAAACTTATAGTTATGTTAGTTAAGTTTTCTGCATATACAGAGATATATTTGAGATGGATAGATATTCTTCAGACTTTTCAAAGACCTTCAGAATATGGCATTTAAACTGGTTTATTAGGGTTTTTCTTGACAATGAGACACAACTGCTCCTGGCAATACCAATTACGTCAGAAAGGAAGATGGGCATTGAAGAAATTCATTATGGAGATTGCTTTCGATATGGTGAGACTAGCTATTTGTGCAAGAAACTGTTGCCTGTACTGTTTGACTATATGCTGTATAAACTGGACATGCAGGACCCACAGGAAAGTGACTGCTGAACTTGCAAAACAAGATAGGACAGTCCTACAGGCTTCCTGCTTCATGGAAGAGTCTGCCAGACATTCTGCAGGATACAGAGAAAAATGACAAACTGCCAATACAGACAGGACAGTTTCAAATTTCCTGCTTTGCTGAGAAGTCTGCCAGACACTCTTGGTCTGCAGGCTGAAGATAGATGCCCCAACATTACAGAAGAACTTTGGGCGATGTCTCTGTCCATTCTAGAGTTGATAATATTATCCTTCTGAGGTCTTTGATGGAGATGAAGATAAATAGTTATGGTTATGGTTTTCCTTAGTTATTATAAAAGATAAGTTACATATAAAACTTTAGACTCACAAAGACAGGATAGAAGATAGAATATTTTCCTTAAATTTTGCCAAATGTTAATGGATTAAACATTAACTACAGTTCTTACTTGGCAACTGTTTTGTTATATATCATTTTACTATGTTAAAGTTAAAATCCTCCTTTTTATTTAGACAGAAAAAAGGAGTTGAGGAGGGATGTTCTTCTGTATATATGTTTCTCTTATTGGTTGATGAATAAAACACTGATTGGCCAATAGCCAGGCAGGAAGCATAAGTGGGCCTACCAGACCAGGAGAAGGCTGAGGGTGAGGGGAGAAGGTGGGGAGAGATGTACAAAGAGATGCCATACTGCCCAAGGAATAACATGCCAGATTATGGGTAAACCACAGCCTTGTGGCAATACATAGATTAATAGAAATGGGTTAATAATAATTAAGACAGAGCTAGCCAATAAGAAACCCTAGCTATCAGCCAACAGTTTTATTATTAATGTAGCATCTGTGTGTTTATTTGGGGCAAATTGGTTGTGGGACCAGGTGGGACAGAAACTTCCATCTTTACACATCAGTACCCAACACTCAGGAGATGAAGGCAGGAGCATCAGAAGTTCAAGATCATCCTTAGCTACTAAGTGAGTTTGAAGCTAGTCTGAATTATATGAGATCCAGTATCAAATACAGACAGACAGACAGACAGACACACACACACACACGAGAGAGAGAGAGAGAGAGAGAGAGAGAGAGAGAGGGAGGGAGGGAGGGAGAGCGAGAGAGCGCAAGAGCAAGAAGCATAATAAGCCTTTACTTGAAAACCCCATCTGATCTTTCAAAAGAAAGTTCCTCACCCACCTCACCAATCTTTCTCTGTTCTCCTGCCAGGTGCTCCTTATCCCTCGTGGTGCTAGAATTACAGTGTGAGCCACCACACCCAGTCCATGTGTGTTTTCTGTCTCTTCCAACAAGTATTCGCTGGTTTAAGCATGTGAGAGAATGTGTGTATCCCTCCCATAGGAAGTCTGCTTTGAGGTCCAAGTTGGGGGTCTCTTTGTTGTTTGTTTTTGAGTCAGAGGTCTGATTATGCAGCTCAGGTTGGCCTTCAACTATTTTTTTTTTTAATTTTTTGACATTGAATCCTTCTGGCTCTGTCTCCCAAGTGCTAGGGTTACTGGTGTGCACCCAGTTTATGTGGTGCTGGAATTGATTCCAGGGCCTTATGCATGCTAGACAAGCATCCTATCAACTGGACTACATCCCTAGTCTGACCTCCAGTCTCCTCCTGTCTCAACTTCCCCAGTTCTGGGGTTACAGGTGTATACCATCAGACTTTCAACATGTCCAACTGCTCTGCACTCTGTTGATTGCTTAATACAGAACTGACATGAAGTTTTTTGAAACTTTTTTTTCTTTCCGGTTTTTTCTTTTCCTTCTTTCTAACACATATAACTCCAGCACTAGGGAGACAGAAACAGGAGGGTCGTGGGGCTCACTGGCCAGCAGGTCTATCTGAATCAGCAAGTTCCAGGTTCAGTGAAAGACCCTGCCAGTCTCCAAAACTAAGGTGGAGAGTGAGAAACACATCTGGAATTGGCATCTGGCCTCCACAAGCACATGCACACACAGATCCCATATGGAAGAAAGGAACACACTGGTTCCCAGCACTACACCTGCCCCAGAGAACGAACATTGTAGAAAGAGCAATAGAAGACCTCATCTTTATGTCCTAGGGTCCAACTTGTGGATGAACCCCCCCCCCATACTAAGTCATGGAACCCTCTCTTACAGATCTTGACCACAAGCCTGAGTTTTCTTTCCCGTTCAACCCCACCCTCCCTGAACCTCCTCACCTCTTTCAGGTTGAATCTCATGTGGTGACAGAGGATATGGAAAGGCTTCTTGGTATCTGAACTCTGGGGGTGGTAACCTTTGACCTTAGAGGCCTGGAAAAGCTTTGGGTAGCCAAACTGGTAGTGGGCAGGCAGGGCAAAACGTAGCCCTTGCTGGTCCCCGTAACGATGAAGGAGACTGAGCACGGAACTGCTCCCAGATTTGTGTGTCTTCAAGAATACAAGCCGCTGTCGGGGTAGGCAAGACTTAGCAGTTGGTCCCAATGAAGGGATCCAGGACTGTCGGAGCTGCAGCCCAGGTAACCTAGAAAGAGAAAGTAAAGGGATTGCCCTGTCCCTAGCCAGTACGTGGAGCAGGTGGGCCCTTGTGATGAACAGACAGTAGGAATGCACCCCCAAGTGTTTACCCCCTAGAGTCACATCCCCAGGTGGGGTTAAGGAAGAGTAGTTTTGGGGGGATATAGTCAGAGAGGTAGGACAGAATGAGTACTCACCTCCTCTGAAATGGTCCCCCTAAGAGCTGGAGGCCAAATCCAATGGTCATGAAGACTCCCAGAGCCACCCCTAGGCTCCGAGGCCTCCAGAGCCTCATGGTCCTGGCAGGAGACAGAGGACCCATTTGTCACAAGGGAAGTGACTAGACAGGGACAGAGCCTGGGCCAAGAGCCATGGGTGGCAGAGAAAGCTGGAGATGGCCGTGCAGCCGTGGAAGGTACGTTTTGGAGATCAGGGGCTCATTCCCCAGGCCTCCTCACAACCCTGGTTGAGTCTGCCCCCTGAGTTAGCAGATTTTTGCCTCTGTCAGCGTCTAGAAGGGAAATGGGGGGGAGGGGGGAGAAGAGGAGTCTAAGGAGAAGGGCAGAACCTTTTCTTCTGCTGCTGCTACAGAGACCCGAGGCAGGGATGGTGTGTCTTTACCCGTTAGCTTTTTATACCAGATCCTTGTAGATGACCTGGCATCTACACGGTGTTCTGCCAACCTGGTTGTCTTCAGCCACCCCCAACTCTCCAACTGTAGCCCTTCCTAAGCTTGGGATATTTAAAAGGGAAGGTGAGAAAGCCAGAACCCAGACCTCAAATGAAACAGACACCTAATGAGATTGAACCTGTTTGCTCATGAGGTCAATACAGGTCCTGGCTACCTTCCTAGTCCCTCTGCCAATCACAAATAGGAATGAAGAACCTCCCTCCTGGAACTAGTATAGGGGGTCTAAAAGGGGTTACTGAAAATGTGGGACTACAGAGCCCCTAGATGCATCCCATCTCACTTCCTCATTCTGTTTAACAGTGCATAGGAAAGGCAGAGAGAGGCAGAGACAGGAGAGCAGAGAGGCAGAGACAGGCAGACACACACCTACACAGAGACAGGCAGACAGACACACACACACACAGAGCAGAGAGAGACACACACACACAGCAGAGCAGAGAGAGAGGCAGAGATAGACAGACACACAGAGAGAGACAGAGAGCAGAGAGACAGACACACAGAGCAGAGAGAGATACAGAGACAGACAGACACACACAGAGACACAGAGAGAGCAGAGAGACAGACACACACTGCAGAGAGACAGAGACAGACAGACACACACCACACACACACACACACACACACACAGAGAGAGAGAGAGAGAGAGAGAGAGAGAGAGAGAGAGAGAGAGATATTTTCTTCTTTCCTAGGCCCCGAGCTTCATGATCAACTTGGAGTATAGTTCCATCTTTTCAGATTACACCCAGCAATCAAAGATCAAGGTCCTTCCAACAAGCTTTGACATCCTGCTTCCCCAAATTACCAGGGTGACCCCAAGCCAAAAGAATCCAGAGGCCCGCCTCCTTCTGGCATTATCCCCAACTCCCTCCCCGACCACAGCCCCCAGAATTCAGCCAGCAACTCCTCTATCCTGAGCTACACTTTATTTCTCCCATCCATCTCGAGCTCTCCTCATTACCCTCATCCCAGCTCATGGTCCCCTCTGCAGCTTTGGCGACTGCTTCATCTGTCGTCAGCCCTTTGTTAAGGGTCTTCTGAGAACCCTTCAAGTCTCCTTCCATAAATTCAAACGTCTCTCCACCGGTTCCAGACTCAGCTTCTCTAGCCACTCACCAGGCCATAAGGAGAGCGGTGGAAAAATCAGGTCGGGCTGTCCCAGCCACCGCCCGGCTCCTCGGATCAACTTTCCCCACAAACTTTTCTCAGCACCCAGACTCCTCCCCCTCCCCTCCCTTTGTCCCGCCAGTCCAAGTAGCTGCTTGCTTGCTTGCTTGAGCATTGCTCCTTTTAATCTGGGTCTCTCCCCTCCCTGCCCCTTTACCAGTCCACTGGGGAAAAGATCACCTACCCTGCCTTTGAAGGATGCCACTTCTACTCTCCTTTCAAGTAGGCATCAATTACATCTTTTTTTTTTTCTTTTGCTTTCCACAAAAGATTTATTCAGGTGAAAGGAATGAGAGAGACAGAGAAAAAGAAATGGGGTGGAGGGAGACAGACAGACAGAAAATAGCTAAAGTCTGCCAAGAATTGCTGCCTTTACCCTGAAGGCAAAGGCAGTGGTGTGTTAACATAAATAGGCCTGGTGTTCTGCACTTTTACAAGTACTTCCTCAAATGATTCCTGTTTGATCTCCACGATTTTTTTTTTTTTTTGTAATAGATTAAGATATTCAGACCTTAGGCTTGGGAAATCTGCGGTTGTTCCTTAGGGCTGCTTGCTCTCAGGGTACAGACTCCAAGATGCAAGAAGCAGGTAGAAATGGAGCCAGTTATAGATGCCCAGGAGAGAAATCAAAGAATATGGAACAGACTGGAAGAAAAGCACTTGCTACACGTGCATAAGGACCCAAGTTCTAATCCCCTGCATCCATTTGAAGAAGCTGGGCATAGCCACAGTGCATCTGCCTATACCGTCAGTGACATGGGGGTGTGGAAGGGGATCACTGGAGCTTGCTGGCTGCCAACCTAGCTCCAGGTTCAGTGAGAAGGCCTGTCTCAAGGGATTAAGGCAGAGCGACATAGCAGGACAGATGCCGCCCTCACCCCCCCCCACACACACACTATAGAAAGCCACACGTATGGTCCAATAAATTATTATTTATTTACCAATAAACACTGACATATGAAATGGAAGCTTGTGAAGGATGTGGATGGCAAAGGTCACAAGATGAGCCCCCCTCCCCCACTTAAAACAGATGCTTTTAAAGAGCCAAATGCAACCCAGGTCCATCTTCCCCACCCCATCCTGTGCCACTATCAGCACCTAGCTGTTTTTATGTGAGCTGAGTGCCCAACTCTCAATCCTCCTGCCTCAGCCTCCCAAATAGTGGGTTTACAGGCATGTGACATCACTCCCAGCTAGGTTTATTTGTCCATTTCCAATACCAGGTATCCCCCATGCCAATACCCCTCCCCCTACTTCCAAGTTCCTTCAACCCGTTCCCCAACACCCTACCCCCTGCCTTGTGCATCAATGAGCCTCAAGCCCCCTTCCTAAATAAATATCCCCAGTTCCCAAATGAAAAAATAAATATTATGAGCACCCATCTACCCCCAGCCCATCAATGTGAAACTCCTGGATCTGGGGCCCCAGCCATTCACCCACAAAGTCCCTTTCTACCCTCTCTGTAGCCCCCTTCCATTCTTCCTCATGCTCAGCTGAGGAAGATGGAGAGGACAGGGCCATATTCACCCTTCTGATGCTAGGGCGCCCCTTCCTGGTTATCGAAGTCCGAGCAGGGTCAGGGCTGAGGGAAAGAGGGTGACGAAGAGTGGAATATGGAGCCCAATAGATGATCCCAGATTCCTGCTTCTGCCCTGGTTATATCTGGCACTGCCGCTTCCGCCTTTGACCCCAAGACCATCCCTTCGAGGGGGACGAGGTGGTCTTGGAGGCCTGGCTGGGGGAACCACAGGTGCTGCCCCAGCTTTCCAGTCATCTGCATACTGTTGTCCCCCACCGGAGCCACTGGCATCTTCATCTGTGCGGAGGGAGAGGAACGGAGGCAGACAACAGAAAGGAAGACAGTGAGAGCTGGCAACGGTGCAAACAAGAGAAACTGAGGTAAAACACAAGCACAAGGTTTTATATATAGGCATGCATGAAAATGTCAAAATGAAGTCCATTCTTTTATTTAAGCTCATTATTATTTAACATGGGGGGGGGGAAGAGAAGGATACATAGTAAGAGTGATGGACAGGAATCCCAGGGGACGGAATGCACAATCAGAAATCAGATGCTCGATGTGGAGATGGGAGAAGGTAATGAGAGAAGGGAAAAGCCAGAGACAGAATAAAGGCAGAAACGGGTAGACAGGGAGAGAAGACAGACAAGAAGCCACAAAACAACAAAAGCAGAGAAACCGGAGGGGAAAGGAGTAGGGCGAGCCAAGACAAAGAATAAAACATGAATGTCTTTCTTTCTCTTTTTGGCTAATTTGGGGGTAGGGTAGTCCAGTGGTACCACAGCTAGCTTCCCTGTCCCCAATACTGCTATTTACAATAAGTTTCCTCGGAGTTCTCTGTAGGAATGTCTGTCTTTCACTGCAATAAGGATGGAGACCTTTCAGACAGGCACTTAGGAAAGGCTTAAGTGAATAGGAAGCTGGTTAATGGGAGGGCGGGGCCAGCGGGGCAATGAGTGGGGCTCAAAGCGAGAGAGGTGGGAGTAGAGGGCAGTTCCAAGAGCAGGTACTTGAGGGGCAGTAAGTGCGCAGGGAGGGAGGCAGTGGGCTGCGCTCCAGCTCCAGAGCAGGGAGAAGCTAGAGGACAGTGGGTGGGACATGAAAAGCAATGGGCAGGCCCCTAGGGGAGACTCGCTGGAGACTGCCAGTGCACCCGGGCAGGACAAGGGGCGGTGCAGGGTGGGTTTCTGGGCCTCACCGGCATCATGCATGTCAAGGTCCTGACCCAGCGCAGCCGCCTTCATCCGAGCAGTAGCTGCTCGGAGATGCAGCCTCCGCCGCCGCGTGGGGACATCTGGACCCGAGGTATCCAACTCCGGATTGCGGAGCTGCTCGTTCAAAGAGCCCACGACCACAGGAGACAGATACCTGAGAACACAACACCCCGAAGGGTCCCGCTGCCGCCTTCTCTCCTTCCACTGCCCGACTCCCGCCGCCACCGCCAGAGCCTCACCGGCCTCTCCCAACTCCAGTCCAGCAGGGTGCCGCCTCCTGTGAGAGGTCTGCTGCCATGCGGGAGTCCCCACACACCGTCACGGGCAATCCGGCCCAGAAGCCCCGCACTCGGCCAAGTCTCTCGCGGAGCTCCCCTACCTGTGCGATAGAAAACAAAGCTGCAGGGCACCGAGCGTCTGTCGTGCCACACCCACCGGCACCCGCGCAGCTCTATTACACACCAGGCGGTGCAGATTAGTGCCTGCCGCTGTCGTGGGCCGTTCTTCCTCAGCCGCCACCCTCCAGGGCCGGCTTGCCTCTTCTCGGGGCGCTGGTGCTCGACGGTTACGGGATTGCACAGGATGCGGGGTCCCGCATTCCTGAAACACCTGTGCACAGGAAAAGACCTCAGCCGCTCTGAAGCAAACCACACCGTGTCCCACCTCTGAATCTACTGTCTCCCCACATGCTCTATTGTTTCTGACACCCACTTAGGCCACACCTCACCTTCACCCTTCCCTCTCTATACCTTGGCTGACACCTTTACACTGTTTTCCTGCAGGTGCATCAAACCTTCTGAGATCTTCACCCCAATAGACTCAGCAGCCAGCTCAAAGGAAAAGGGTCCCTGGACTTTCTCAGCCAACAGCAGGAGACCATCTTGAGGGAAGGGGGATAAAGAGAAAGTAGGGGGTGTGCACTGACCTAGGATGGTCCCACACATCTCACAAGGGCCTTGAAAGGTAAGAGCAATTTGCTTGCTTGGAGGTGTGTGATCACCTGAGAAAAGCCCCCCTCCCTCTTATTCTTCCCTCCAGTTTGGTTTCAGGCCACCCTCTTCTTACACAAATGGCCCCCCAACCTTACTCAGGGCCCTCCTCCCCTCGGGCTTTCTTGAGCCCCCTCACCCAGATATCCGCCCCATTCAGGCTCCAGTCCCCTGCTGCTGAGGCAGCCATGGGCCACATTGAGGCAGAAGCCCCGGCAGGGCATAAGCGAGGGGACTCCCCGACAAAGTGGGCAGCCGATCAGACGCATCAGGGCCTGCCTGCAGCCTTCCAACACGGGCACCTGGGGGGTAGAGAGTGGGTCTGGGCATCCATGAACACCTAGGCTGCTCTTAGCAAGCCTGGTGCTGGGCATAGAGAGGTAAGAGACCCTGACCCATCTCCCCAGGCTATCTGTTAGAAGCTGGATGTGAGCAACTGTGGCTGATGGCCTTGTGTGGCACTGTGATGCCACCAGACTGCTCCAGAGCTAGGCTGCACAGGAGAGTACCCAGAGGCAAGGTTGCTGAGTCTACCTCATGAGAGGTGCTTGACTAGGGTGTTACTCGGGAGGAGGTGGTAAGGAGAGACTCAGGGCCAAGAGTGAACCCAAGATGGCTGAGGAGAGAGGCAGGAGGCAGGAGGCGAGGTTGGGGACAGGACCAGTGATGCAGAGGGAGGGGCCGCTGAGGGGTTCGATGCAATCTTGAACTGCTATGGAAATGAACAAGCCCTCCAAGACTGGCAGAAGGCACGGGGTGACCAGAGGGGAGGATCAGAAGTCACAGGAGATCCCTTCAGACACCCACTGGAGGCCTGACTCTGGCCCTCCTTCCTGATGTACCCTGGAACACCAGAGCCCAGGAGCAGATAAGGGACAGCTCCAGGCTTCTCCCACCAGCTGGTGCCTGTCTTCTTCATTCCCTAGGCTCTGTCCATATTCAGGTCCCCTCTAACCTTAAGTGCTTCACTGACCACATTTCTTCCAGTCTCCAGACCCTGGACCAAGGCCCGGGCTGCCACCAGTGCCCGGGTTATCTAGGAGAAAGAAGGTGAGGGGGTAAAAAAGACACAAAGATTATTATGAGTTTGTCAAGATGAGCTGAGAGACAGCAGGAGGTTGGGTTTGTGGGGTTTACTTGGGGTGGATACACTGTTGGGCGATATAAGAGGGAGGTTCGATAGCCCCAAAAGGAATTATAGTCTAGCAAGATTGGGTGTTTGGAAAGAGCTGGTAGGGTTGTGTTGAACATGGTTTAGACAGACCGCATATCAGAACCCTGAACTCAAAAGCCAGAAGACTGAGGTGTGGAGTCTAGTATTACTACTTCTTGGCTGTGAGTCTTGCTTGGGAGACCCAGTTTTCTCCTTTGTAAAGTAAGGATGCTCTTATTTACCTCAAACAATTATGGTGACAATTCAATGTGATATACTGTAAGCGAAAATGACTCCCAACTATGGACTGCCCAGCTCCTGTTTAGCCGAACCATGGGAAGTCACTGTGTGGGGATTATAGAGGTAATGGCGGAAAAGTAGCTGGGGATGGAGGGCCAAGTGTGTACACAAAAGTAGGACAAAGAATGAGGGTGGGCATGTAGTTAAAGGAGACCAAGGGACACTGGTCATGCACAGGTGACCAAGGCTTGAGATGGGAGCCACCAAGTCAGAGAAGGGCATGAGATCAGAGGTGACATGGGCACAAAAGGGGGAGACTGTCTTGGAGATGATAGCTTCACTAGGTCAGAGGTTGCTGAAGCGCAGGTCATGGGACCCCCTCACCTGTAGGCGGAGGCGGCGGGGTGAGTCCCCGAAGGGCTGCAGAGAGCCATCAGCAGTAGAGGTGAGCCGAGTAAGGCAGAGCAGGAAGTCAGGAGGAAAGCTGTATTGTGGGTGCAGCAAAGGGAAGGCTCTCTCCAGGAGCTGTGCCCAGAAATCCGCCAAGGTGTCATCTAACCCCTCGCCAGACTTCTCATAGTAGTCCCGCAGGCCAGAGAATAGACTATTGAAGATGGTGGCGTGTTGGGAATACAGGCGACCATAGGAATGCGAGAACAGCTGGGCCAAAGAATGCTGGGATATGGACAGCATCTCCCGGAAAAACTCTAACAGAGGTGGAGGGGTGAGAAAAGGGAATAGAGAAAGGGAGAGCAGAGACAGGAGGACAGAGGATAAGCAAAAGAAGAGGCAAGAGTTAGAAGACTGGACAAGTCTGAGGCCGGGCAGACTAGGAATGAGGAAGGGCAGGGTCCTGGAGAGAATATGGAGTGGGAATTGGAGATAAGCAGGGCTGGACAGTTGGGGGGAGTTCTGGGGTGGGTGGTGTGGGCTTTCTCATGACTGCAAGAGGTGGGGGCAGGAAGCTGGGTGGGAATCGTCAACATAAAGAGGTGTGAAGTACATTTGGAGACCCCCCCCAAAGGTCCTCACCATTAAACTTTCTATGCCGGGCAGCCAGTGTGTGGATCAGGAAGGAGCCACTGTCCTCCACCAGGCCACGGAAGGTGACCTCAGCATCCCTGATCAACTTCTGCTCTGTCTCACTGGAACAGCAGGTATACTCCTGAGGACAGATCTGAAGGTGCTCACCTGGGCAGAGGGGACAGGGAGGGACAGTGGATGGCAAGAAGGGATATTATGAATTTCCTATCTCTGATGGCTCTCTTCCACCTGCCCAGTCCTGTCGCCTTTTCCTTTGTCTGCCCCTTCTGCCCTACCTGAACCCTCCTTTATTGTCCCTCACCCATCCCAAGTTCACCCCTATACGCCATAGCAACATCTATTTGACAGCTGCCTTGAGGGCCACATTAGTGATCAGTGTCTTCAGGGGACCCTCCCCAAAACGGCACACAATGCACCTCTAAGTACTTATGGGACACCTATGGGGTTTGTAGGGGTGGGGCTACTTGGTGAACAAGAAATTATTATCACAAAAGAAACTCATAGAAAATGCAAGGGAATTCCTGTCTGCTAAGAAAGACACTGACAGTGTGCCAATTACAGAGAGGGGGATTCCTTGGGTGGGGATTGAGTGTGGGCTATTATGTGAGCAGCAGGGTTATTGTGATCCTGGTAAGGAAGTTACAGGAGGAGGAGGAGGAGGAGAAAGATGCCTAAGAGATGAAACAATCACCACAATGGTCACTGAAAGGAAAGAGTCATTGTGAGATGGGGAGGACCCGTCCCCGCCCCCTCCCACCCCTGACTCTTTAGTCTTCTTCTTTCTTCTCACCTGAGATGAGGGAGGGAGGGATTAGGTTTAAACTATATCCCCGGGCTCCCAGCACCTGCCGAGTCTCTGCACAACTCCGGACGACCTTTGCCTCACTGCCAGGTCCCGGACCAGGACCGGGACACAGAGAGAGCAGCAAAAGCAGGAGAGGACGCAGCGCGGACATAGCTGCTCTCCTCCCTGGGACAGGGCAAAGTGGGTCCTAAGGAGGAAAGAAGAGTCCACACAACTCTAGAATTCCTTTCTCGGCCGCGGGACGTCTCGGAGAAAAGAGAAAGAGCGTGCCCCCAGAACTGAGCAACCCCAGCACCGTAGCTGGACCAGGCGGCATCTGCGGAGACAATGGGAGCCAGGGAGCGGGACAGGGGGCGGGTCCCGGAGCGGGGCCCCGCCAATGATAAGGAGAGAGCGGTCTCGGGGGCGGGGCCAGGGTAGAAATGAAGCCAATGTGGAAGGGGAACTCGGCAGGGGGCGGAACGCGGCCGCACGGCCGAGGTAGGTGAGGGGGGGGGGATGTGGCCTTGAGGAGGGGCGTGGCTTTCCTGCTCGAAAGGCGGGGCTTGCGTGAAACTGAGCCTATTGCAATTGGGAAGCCGTAGCAGAACGCTCAGCCAATGGAAGGGGACATAGGAGTAAAAGAGGCGTGCCCAGGGTGGAGCGACCCGCACGCGCTGGAGCCCACGTGACAGGAACGCGCGCCTCATGCCTGGTGGCCGCTCGAAGCCGAGCGCCGCTGTGTGACCAGAGCGTGTTTAGCACGCGCTCGCTCTCTCCCAAGTCTCGCGACACTTCTCTGCCGCGCGAAGTACAGTTAATCTCGCGCCTGCGCGGCGAGTCCCGCGCCTTCCCGCGTTTTTCTAGACTTACCCGCCCACCATCTGAGGAAGAAAAGGTGTCCCGGCGGGCGTCTCTGTCAGAAGTGGGATGTCCAGTGAGACCTGAAAGGACCCGGGACCGGAGGTGGTGACCTTTCTTCACCTGTGTTCATCTAGAGGTCACTCTTCCGAGCTCAAACAGTGAGGTTGCCCCTTTGAAGCCACCAGTAGGCCGCGTCCCCGCCCTCCTGCCCCCCTGCCCCTCCGTCGTCGGTACCTGGGTGCTGTCCGCTATGGAGGCCGGCAATCCCATCTTCTGACGCAGACGGAAGACCCCTCAGCTCGAATAAGCTTCCTGGGGTCGGCCGTAGACAGCCTTTCTGGAGGTAGAGAACGCGCACTTTCCTTGACTCCAGAACATTCCTGGCCTAATCCAAAAGACACCCTACCTCCAAATCATTCACAGCCTCCCATTTCCTGTGTAACCAGGAAATGGCTTCCGGAAATGGAAATCTGAGGCGCTCTGCTGCTCTGTTTTTGGCGGCCAAGCCGCTTTGTCTTACACCACCAGCCCAGTGCACTGCGCCCCTCCTCCTACGAAAGGGATCCATGCCTGAAACTGCCCTGCAGTGTGAACCCTCTAGCCCGTTTATCTATTTACCTAGCATTGAACGTGTTAGACAAGCCTTCTACCACTCAACTACAATCCCCAGGCCTCCCTTTTCTTTTCCTATTTTTTTTCCTCTGTTTATTTGAGATAAGGCCTGCCTAGGTTTAGATTGCCCAGGCTGGCCTGGAATGGATTCCATAACCCAGGCTGTCTTTGAATTTGGTGACCTTCCTGCCTCAGCCCTCCAGGTAGCTGCGATTCCCGGAAGTCACTAGCACCCCTCCTTACAGCTTTTTGTTAGGCAACCCTTGATGCAGTCGTGGCCTTAATACCTCAGTGTGGTTAGGTTGACTCTCTCTTGTTTTGGGTGCCCCATCCCGCAGTACCAGGACCATATCTTAGGGGAGAAAGGCGATGGTCATGGCAGGAATAGAATAGTAGTGGTAGAAACACTCTTTACTTTTTTTCTCTTACAGCTGACTTAACATGCCCACTCTATGGTCACCTTCCTCTCAGCTCCATGGCTCTGCCTCAGACAGCGTGTCCTCTCCATGTCAAAAGTCTGTGGGAAGTACACAGATGGCCTTGTCTCCTTGTTCCTCCACCAGCCTACCCTGTGACGACAGGAACTCACAGGATACTGCAGAGTGGTGAGTGCACTGGGGAGAGAGAGGTTGCTGCATTTTGGGGCCCTTTCTGTTCCCTCAGCAGCTGTCCTGTCTATTGCTTTCCTGCTTGGTTATAGTATGTGTGGGGGCTGTGTGAAAATATCAGACATGCAGTGCTGAAAGCTGGTTGTGGTGGAACACGCCTGTAATCCCACAACTTGGGCCGTGGAGGCAGGAGGATCAAGAGGTTAAGGACAGTTGCATAGTGAGTTCCAGCTAGCCTGGAATGCATGAGACTCTGCTTTAAAACAATAAATGAACAATAAAAAAATAAAAATAAAAAAAGGAAGGTTGGGGAGGGAGAAGTCAGGAAGGAAGAAATGCTGTACCAGTTTAGATTGGAGACTCCTCTCAACTCTGCCATATCTTGGCTGCCTTACATCTTATAAACATCAAGAATAGCACATCTAAATTGTAAGTTCAGAGGGCCAGCCTGGGCTACATAGCAAGCAAAACCCTGAAATAAGACTAGAGTACACATCTAGTTTTGAATCCATGTTGCTACCTAAACCTGTCTTGAATGTGTAACAGTGCTTAGCACATAACAGTTGCTAGTGCTATCAGGGACAGAGAGTATATAAATAAAGAGTGCTTTATTTGTTGCTTGAAAACGTATAGGTGTATTTTAGTTGATGTCTTGCGGTTCTGTTTGAGATTTTAAAAACAGATCCATGATCCTTATAGCCTTATGAGTTTATTCTGTGAAGATTATAACAGCATATCATGTTTTTTAACCTTTCTAGGCAAAAATAGTCTCATGCACCATTATCTTTATTATCCCATTTGTTTTCATTGTCCGTCTCTGAATCATTTCTGCTTCTGCCAGTGCTATCATTGAGGACTAGATTATATCAGTGCTATAAACTTGAATCACTAAGGTTATATTTCAGAGTGAACTATAATCCCAGGTACACACTCATATACTTATGTATATGTATACTTACTCCTCAGCCATGTTGACTTTTCTGAACACAGAGTAGTAGTCTGAACATGACTCTGAATACCAGTTGTCTCGATTACCCGTTTCAAGAACATTTATTTAGGTATCTATGGCATGTGTGTATGCCACAAACATATACATGGAGATCAGAGGGCAACTTTCAGGAGTCAAGTTTTCTCTTTGCACCATGGGGTCCTGGTAGTTGATCTCTGGCTTTGGTGGTAAGTGCTCTTACTTGCTGAGCCATTTCACCTGCTTTCAGCTCCTCATTTCTCATCTTTACTGCTCTAGTGATTTTTATTGCCCCTTTTAAAATGTGAATATTTTTCTCATGTAGATGTGGCACAATTATAGATAAATAAAAAATTATAATTAACTCTTTATGTGGAAGGAATGGAGTGGTACCAGGGAAATCATCCTCTCTTAATAGGGATAGTCCCTCTGTGTCAACTAATGAAGACAGTGACTTTGAAGACAGCTCAAGACGCAATGTGAAGAAGAGAGCAGCAAAGCGACCTCGTAGAGCTGCCCCGGTGAGTCTGTTTTATTTAATTTAGAATCTGGTTGGGGAATCAACAAAGAAAAGTCCAGAAGGGACTCAGATGGTGGGATGGAATAAAAGAGAACATTAGGATGGAGAGGTGCCAGAATTCTTTAAAAAGAAAATAAGGTTAGTAATAACAAAATTTCACAAGAATAAAAAATCAGTTACTTAAAATCTGAAACAATAATGGAAGCATATCTGTGGAATTGGCAGCTTAAGGCTATTTAAGGTGATAATGATTAAATCAAATGCTAGTGTCATGCTAACAGCTTTTGTGCGTCTGATATTTCTACATTTAATAGGTGGCAAAACATCGGAAGAAGCGGTCCCGAATAGTGTCTAGTTGGAATGGCAAGAGTGAATCAGTGCCACCAACCAGCGATCTCTTTGATGCTGTGAAAGCTGCCAAAAGTGACATGCAGGTAAGGAAGTGTCTCACCTCTGTTCCTCTTCCTCTTGACATCAATAAGGAGTTTGATTACATTTTTAAGTTACGTTGTCTAGAAAATTTTTGCAAGCTTATGATTGTAGAAGTTGAACTGTTGAAACTTATTTACTGAAATGTTTTGACTTGCATTAGTGCTTTACAGTTTGCATTTATATTAAAAATTCACACACAAGTGAAAATGGAAATCAACTGCCAGTACCTGATTTCTATCCCCTATTTTTTCTACTCGCAATCATATACTTTTTGACAATGTAGGGAAAAATATGTAGTATAGAACTATTGATAAGAAGAAGATTGGAAAATTCTTTTTTTGGGAATGAAATGTTTTCCCTCATGGTAAATTTTTTTTAATTTTTTTAAAATTTATTTTATATAACCAAGTCCATTTAAATGAAAACAAACATTTATAGACAACATTTGGGAATTTGGGCATTGTTCTTTCCAAACTACTTCCTGCTGGTAAGGGGCGCTGTCATGGGGGATTCTAAGAAGATGCAGAAATCCTGGCTGTAGTCTGTACGGCTGCTTTATCCAGCTGTTTTGAATGTAGGATCACCTGGTACTCTGTTTCAGGCGGCCTGGCTTGATCAAACCACATTAGTCTGGAAGGAATCCACAGCTTTTCATTTTCTGTGGAAACAAAAATAGAAATCCTTTTCCCCAGTAACTTGTCCTTGAACTTAAATTTTGGAGTCAAAGCTTTTTTTTTTTTTAATTTAATTTATTATTTTACATGTCGATTCCAGTTCCCTCTCCCTCCCTCCCTCCCTCCCTCCCTCCTTCCTTCCCTACCTCTTTCTCTCCCTTTTACCCTCTCTGCCCTTTCACATGCACCCTAACCACCATCCCCTCCCATCCCCCCACCCCAATTCCATATGGAGGGGAATGCCATCCAGTTGGGGTCATGTAGATCTGACAGGCCATGTGAAGTAGGGACTAGGGCTTCTCCTGTCTCTAGATTAAGGCAGTTATCCCTCCATGGGGGATGTGTTCGCAAAGTCCTTTTGTGCACCAGGGATACATCCTGGCTCCACTGTCTGAGGTTCCTTAGACTGCTCAGTCCTTCTGGCTGAGACCAATATTCGGGTCAGTCCCATGCTGGCTTCTCAGCTATCAGTCTGGGGGCCTGTTAGCTCCTCCTTGTTCAGGTAAGCTGTCTGTATGTGTTTCTGCCGCATGGTCTTGTCCTCTCCATCTGCATCTGGGTTCTAGTTCCACTCAGTGTTTATGTATGGGTGTTTGATCCTGTTTCCAACAGGCATTAGTTGAGGGCTCCTTGGATAAGTTAGTTGTTGATCTCACTCTCCAGGAAGGGCATTTATGATAACCTTTCCACGGAAGCTCAAATTGTTAGTTGGGAGCAGTCTTGTAGTTCTCTAGACCTTTCTTTGTGTTCAATTTTATCTTCAAACCAATATTGGCTCCCTCTTTTATGTTCTCTCTCTCTCTGTCTCTGTCCCTCTCTCTCTTTCCTATCTTCTATTCCTAATCAGGCTCAATCTTCCTGGTCACACATGTTTTCCTTTCCTCCCCCTCGTTTTCACCTACTTCTCTCTTCATTCGCTGCCCCCCCCACTTCCCCTGAGCTCTGGGGGACTTGTCCCTTCCCAGTTCTGTGAGGGACTTTATATGAATCTCTTAGAATACACCTTGTATCCTAGTTCCTCTGGTGGTGTGAATTATATGCTGGTGATCCTTTGATCTAGGTCTAAAATTCATATATGAGTGAGTAAATACTGTGTTCCTCTTTTTGTGACTGGGTTACCTCATTCAGGATGGTTTCTTCAAGTACCATCCACTTGCCTGCGAATTTCAAGATACCATTATTGTTTTCTGCAGAGTAGTATTCCATTGTGTAGATGTGCCACATCTTCATTAACCATTCTTCAATTGAGGGGCATCTAGGTTGCTTCCAGGTTCTTGCTATTACAAATAGTGCTGCTATGAACATAGTAGAACAGATGTCTTTGTTGCATGGATGTGAATCCTTTGGGTATATGCCTAAGAGGGGGATTGCCGGGTCCTGTGGTAAACTAATTCCCATTTTCCTGAGGAACCGCCATACTGATCTCCAAAATGGCTGTACGAGTTTGCACTCCCACCAGCAGTGGAGGAGTGTTCTCCTTTCTCCACAACCTCTCCAACATGAGTCATCATTGGTGTTTCTAATTTTAGCCATTCTGGCAGGAGTAAGATGGTATCTCAAAGTTGTTTTGATTTGCATTTCCCTGATAGCTAGGGATGTGGAGCATTTTCTTAAGTGTCTTTCAGCCTTTTTGATTTCCTCTATTGAGAATTCTTTCTTCAGTTCTGTACCCCATTTTTTAATAGGGTTATTTGGTGTTTCGTTGACTAGTTTTTTGAGTTCTTTGTATATTTTGGAGATTAGCCCTTTGTCGGATATAGGATTGGTGAAAATCTTTTCCCAGTCTGTGGGCTGCCGTTTGGTCTTGTCCACTGTGTCCTTTGCCTTACAGAAGCTTCTAAGTTTGAAGAGGTCCCATTTATTGTTTCTCTCAGTGTCTGTGCCCCTGGAGTTATGTTCAGGAAGCGGTCTCCTATACCAATTTGTTCAAGGGTACCTCCTACTTTCTCTTCTAAGAGGTTCATTGTGGCTGGATTGATGTTGAGGTCTTTGATCCATTTGGACTTGAGTTTTGTGCATGGTGACAGACATGGGTCTATCTGCAATCTTCTACACACCCTCATCCAGTTGTGCCAGCACCATTTGTTGAAGATGCTGTCTTTACCCCATTGTATAATTTTAGCTGTTTTGTCGAAAATAAGGTGTTCATAGGTATGTTGGTTAATATTAGGATTTTCAATTCGATTCCATTGGTCTACCTGTCTATTTTTATGCCAATACCAGGCTGTTTTCAGAACTATAGCTCTGTAGTAGAACTTAAAGTCAGGAATGGTGATGCCTCCTGAAGTTCTTTTTTTTGTATAGGGTTGTTTTGGCTATCCTGGGTCTTTTGTTTTTCTATATAAAGTTGATTATTATCCTTTCAAGGTCGGTGAAGAATTGTGGTGGGATTTTAATGGGGATTGCATTGAATCTGTAGATTGCTTTTGGCAAGATTGCCATTTTTACTATGTTTATCCTACCTATCCAAGAGCATGGGAGATCTTTCCATTTTCTGGTGTCTTCTTTAGTTTCTTTCTTTAGAGCCACATAGTTCTTATTATATAGGTCTTTTACTTGTTTGGTGTTACACCAAGATACTTTATGTTGCTTGTGGCTATTGTAAAGGGTGATGTTTCTCTGATTTCTTTCTCTGTCTCTTTGTCGTCTGAAAAAAGTAGGGCTACTGATTTTTTGAGTTTATCTTGTATCCTGCTAGTTTGCTGAAGGTGTTTATCAGCTGTAGGAGTTCCCTGGTAGAGTTTATTGGGTCGCTTATGTAAACTATCATATCATCTGCAAATAGAGACAGTTTGACTTCTTCCTTTCCAATTTGGATCCCCTTGATCTCCTTTTGTTGTCTTATAGCATTAGCTAGAACTTCTAGTACGATATTGAAGAGATATGGAGAGAGAGGGCAGCCTTGTTTTGTTCCTGATTTTAGAGGAATTGGCTTAAGTTTCTCTCCATTCAGTTTGATGTTGGCAGTTGGTTTGCTGTATATTGCTCTTATTATGTTTAGGTATGTTCCTGTTATCCCTGACCTCTCCAAGACCTTTATCATGAAAGGGTGTTGAATTTTGTCGAAGGCTTTTTCAGCATCTAGGGAGATAATCATATGGTTTTTCTTTTTCTGTTTGTTTATATGGTGGATCACGTTGATAGATTTCCGTATGTTAAACCATCCCTGCATTCCAGGGATGAAGCCTACTTGGTCATGGTGGATGATTTCTCTGATGTATTCTTGAATTCAGTTTGCCAGTATTTTATTGAGTATTTTTGCATCGATGTCCCTCATAGTAAATTTGTCAGTGTGTTTTCCATGTATAAGTCATACTACCGGATTGTATAATTGTTACACATTTGGCATAGATAGCATATAGGTTGGTATTTTCAAAACTGCCAACTAGATAGGTCTCTGTTGCCTCCTTCAAAGCACTGACAACTACACTCTGACCAGACACTTGAAGGGGAATTTTTGTGACTCGGAAATTCAGTGGACTTGTGATAAGATCTGCTTTTACAGAGAGCCACAGCATCAGGCCTATAATGATGAGCTTTCCTCATCTTGCCATTAGAAGTCAGACTCTGGCTAACAGTGTCTAGAGCTGGCTGCTGGGTGCTTTATCACCTGTGGAATTTTAGAGTGTCTGTTTTATACAGGTCATGCTATTGAGACATTGCTGACCCTCCTTCAGCTTTAGCTCAATGAGCAAGAGGCTCTGCTGGCATTAGAGAGTGGCAACTGCAAACTTCATCTCTGTGTGGTTTGTTTGAACAGGGTTTCTTAATGTGTCCCCAGCTGGCCTGGAACTCAGTATACCAGTCAGGCTTGTCTCAGTTCACAGAGATCTGCCTGTCCGCTTCACAACTGCCTCCCACCCATGTCTCCTGTCCCACCCCCCCCACTCCACAGGGAGGGTGATGCCTTCCAGGAAGGATTATCAAAATCTTTCAAGTCATTTGGAGTAGGGTCCTTCCTGCCTCTAAGCTAAGGGAGTATCCCCATGGGGAATGTGCTCCCCAAAGTCCTTTCATGCACCAGCGATAGATACATCCTGGTCCCACTGTCAGAGGTCCTTTGAATGTGCTCCCCAAAGTCCTTTCATGCACCAGTGATACATCCTGGTCCTACTGTCAGAGGTCCTTTAGACTGCCCAGGCCTTCTAACTGAGACCCATGTTCAAGGGGTCTGAGTCAGTACAATGCTGGTTTCCTAGCTATCAGTCTGGGGGTTCATGAGCTCCCCCTTGTTCAGGTCAGCTATCTCTGTGGGTTTCTGTAGCCTGGTCTTGACCCCTTTTCTTATCACTCCTCCCTCTCTGCAACTGGATTCTAGGATTTCGGTTCAGTGTTTAGCTGTGGGTGTCTGCTTCTGTTTCTATCAGCTACTAGATGAGGGCTCTATGTTGGCATATAAGTTAGATATTAATCTCATTATCAGGGAAGGGCATTTAAGGTTGCTCAGATTGTTAGTTGGGGTCATCCTTATAGATGTCAGTTTTCTCTTCAAACCTACAATGGCTCCTTCTATTATGGTATCTCTATTTTTGCTCTCATCTGTTCATCCCCTGGCTCAATCTTCCTGGTCCCACATGTTCTCCTCTCCTTCCCTTCTCCTAACTACCTCTCCACTCACTGCTGCTCCCCCCCCCTGCACTCCCAATATGCTCAGAGAATCTTGTTCCTTTCCCCTTCTGTGAGGGACCTTGTATGAATCTCTTAGGTTCCTCCTTGTATCCTAGTTTCTCTGGTGGTGTGAATTATAGGCTGGTGATCCTTTGCTCTATGTCTAAAATCCATATATGAGTGAGTACATATCATGTTTGTCTTTTTGTGACTACATTACCTCAGGATGGTTTCTTCAAATTCCATCCATTTGCCTGTGAATTTCAAGATTCATTGTTTTTTTCTGAGTAGTACTCCATTGTGTAAATGTACCACATCTGCTTTATCCATTCTTCATTGAGGGTCATCTAAGTTGCTTCCAGGTTCTACTACCCTGGCTAGACTAGGTATAACATTCTGCGATAATATACATATATATTTTTTATTTAGTACATTAAAATATTATTCCCATTGCTTTCTGCCTTTCCTTGTTGCCACTGAAAATCAGCTATCATTAATTTAATTTAACACTGATCAATACAGTATTTTAGGGCTGGTGGGATTGCTTAGTGGGTGAAGCACTTGTCACTTAAGCCTGATAACTGAGTTCAGTTACCTGAGCCATGTAAATATAGACGATGAGAACCAGCTCCTGAAAGCTGTCATCTGACCTTTATATTTATGATGTGCTCACAACCATTCACACATAATATACACACACAATGGTAAACAAACATTTAAAATACAGAATTTTATAGTGGTGCTACATATTGGTGTTTCTGTAGTATAGTATCCTCTAGTCATATGTGATTGTTGAGCTTTTAAATACAGCTTATACAACTAAGGAATTTGATTTTTAAGTTTTATTTAATTTAATAGTCCCATGTGATTCAAGACCAATGTGTTTACAAAGTTCTTATTTGTAAATTTTGTTTTATAAAATGTTAAATGTATGTTCTTTGTAAATGACTCTTTTTTTTCTTTCATTTGTTATGCTAGAGATCCATTACTTTCCTGGATCTTAGAAATGATGTTATTCAACAAGTATGGAAAATTCTTTTCAGATACTTCCCTTTCTTCATTTTATTATATTCTAGAATTCAGTTAAATCTGAGAACTTTTCAGTTTCTTCTCTGATCCCTTTAATACTTTGACTTCCATCTGTCAGTCTCTCTGAATTGCATTTTGGACACCATTGATTCAACTTGTCATCTGTTCTTTGTAACCCTTCCAGTGAAGTTACCTATAACCCATCCAGAGAAATTACCTGTAACTCATTCAGGGAAGTGACCTGTAACCCATCTAGTAAAATTTGTGTTTTTGTTAGATTAAAGAAATTATGTGCATGAGTGCCTATATACTGTGTGTACACCATGAATATGTATTGCCCTGAAAATCCAGAAGAAGGCACCAGATCTTCTGGAACTGGAGTTTCAGGTGTTGTGAGCCACTGTGGTGATGGGAACCAAACCCAGGTCCCCTGCAAGAACAGCAAGTGCTCTTAATTGCTGAGCCATCTCTCCAGCCATATGCAGTATACCTTTACATTTTATTTCTCACCTCTGCAGAGTTAACTCATTTCCAAAATTGACTGCATTTTTTCTACTTTTATATGTATATTTCTTTAATCATATGAAACAACCATTTTATAATTAATGATACCTTCATTCTCATAACTGACTACTTGTAATTATATTGTCTGTTTTATAATTATTTCTTTCCATGCATTTGTTCCTCATGTTTTACAAGGTTTTTACTATGATCCACTCATTTTCTCCTAAGCTCTCTGTGTTGGAACACTTTGGGTCAGGATCAAAGCTGTGCTTGTAATAGAGGAACCTGCATTTGTTTCTAACATGAACACTTCCGAATACTTTTGCTTCAAACTCATCACAAAGTTGAGGATGACCTTGAACTTCTTATCTTCCTGCCTCCATCTCCCAAATACTGCAATTAGAGATGTTCAATACCATACCCACTTGAGAATCACTTTTAATTAATTCTCTTCCTGAGATTATTCTGGTCATATAGTTAATAAGAATCTGGACTGTAAACCCAGTCCTAAGGGCTAAGTATATATGTATGTATGTATGTATGTATGTATGTATGTATGTATGTATGTATGTATAATTTTTTTTGGAGAGATTCACCTTTTCTCTCCAGCTACACTATAGAGTACATTCTCTTCCTGTTCCCAGTGGCCCTGTAGATTCATCTCCCATTCTTCTTTTCATAAGAATATAGCTCAGTAGGACTCAGCCTTATATGGGAGCATTTTCTTGGACTACTCTTCTTGGAATGATTATCTTAGGCTCTTTGTCCTATGCTGTTCATTCTATATAGCATCTTGTTTAGTGAAACCCTTCCATCAAAAGTCAGCTACATACTACCAGAATTGCTGCTTTATCATTTTTGACCTATGTGGGTTTCTACCTTCCATTCTAATTCAGCAATATGTTTGAAAAGATATTTGTAATTTTTAATAAGAAATTTGTATATTTCAGTTGGGAAGATCAAATAGGATAATCTGTCATATTGTTGGAATTGAAATCATTCATACTTTTCTCCTAGTCTTTGGTGGATGAGTGGCTAGAAAACTACAAGCAAGATGAAAATGCAGGATTCTTGGAACTCATTAATTTTTTCATTCGTTCCTGTGGATGTAAAAGTGAGGAAACTACCCTACCTGCTCCATATCCCTATTCTTAATGTTTAAACTTTTCTTCTGTTTATGAGTACAGTTGAAATTGTCTAAGAAGGCAAGAGCTGGATTATTTAACTACACTTTTGATGTATAAGTATTGGAAGTAATTTAGTAGAGAACTATATTGATTTTGAGACACAACCTTTTGGTGGAAAAGAATCTTGCTTCAGCCATGTTAATGATAGGCACATATTAGAAACTAGACTATCACAATCTTGGAGGACTTTTCATTTTTTTTTTTTTTTTTTTTTGAGATAGAGTTTCACAGTTTTTTTGAGATAGAGTATCCCAGACTGACTTTGGTTCTGAAGCAATCCTCCTGCCTCACTCAGTCTTCTGAGTACTGGGATTACAGGTATACACATGACTTACAGTGCCTTTAGTCTTTGTGTATGAGGCAATCTATTACTTGTTTCTGTTTGTCAGCCATTTCACCTATATTTTTCCTCAGCCTCCAGAGTGCTGGAATTGCAGATGTGCACAAAACACTGTGTGCCTTTTAGTCTTTGTCAATAAGATAGTCTGTTCTTATTTCTCAGCGACTATGTTTTCTGTCAGATGCCGTAGAGCCCCCAAACTCCACATGCCAAGACTTAGTTTGGGTTAGGGAGCATCAACTTGTTTTAGAAGATTTCATCATCTGGCCTAGTCTTCCCCCGCCCCCCTCCCCATTTGTTTCAGGGTGTGTTTTTGAACCAGAGCTTTTCACTACATAATTCTTTTGCATTTTCCAGAAGTTATTTCATAGCACATGTACAAATGAATGGTAACAAGCTCTTGACTAGGAAGGATTCAAGTTGTCTGATTCCCCCAAGCTCTTCTCAATATTTCCTCTAGTTCATCCGCTAATGTATCTGGGTCTTACTATTTTCTTTTTATGTCTCTTGTCTCCTTCAATTTCCAGGCATTGTAACTCCTGAGATGTTCAAGATGATGTCCAACTCGGAGATCATACAGCACCTAACAGAACAGTTTAATGAGGTAAAGGAAGCTGATAGAATTATCTTGGTCCTCTTAGCCTGAATTCCAAACACAAGGCTCACTGCTCCTTTATTTCTGATTCTTGGAAATAGCTTTTATAAGGAAGAGTCAATCTTTTTTTTTTTAAAATAAAAGGGACTTACAGAAATTAGCTGCCATGCCTCTGGGATTGAGTGATTATGAAAAATGAAGTATATAGAGTTACATTTTTACTGTGCTATTGGTTTTTGACAGTCAAATCCCTGGACTTCCCTGGACCTAATTATTTTCTTTTTCTTTCTATAAACCCTTTTGTAGGACTCAGGGGACTATCCCCTGACAGCTTCGGGCCCATCCTGGAAGAAGTTCCATGGAAGCTTCTGTGAGTTTGTGAAGACACTGGTCTATCAATGCCAGTACAGCCTCCTCTATGACAGCTTTCCTATGGATGATCTTATCTCCCTGCTCATTGGCCTCTCAGATTCCCAGGTCCGCGCCTTCCGTCATACTAGTACCCTGGCTGGTGAGCATTCGCACAACTCAGTGGGCTCTCCTGAGAATAATGAGGTGGAGGAAACTTTTATTCCATGTTCTGGGTCTTCTTTCCCACTTACATCAATCCTATTCAATACCTTGTTGCTTTTATCCTAAAGCTGCCTCCTGCTACACACTGGTGAACATAGGAAAGGGGGAGAGAAACCACAGTAATGACTCCCAGTTTTCATATCTTCTGAGTGTTACCCTGGCAATAGACTTGTGCATAAAAGAATGCCAAAATGGTTGCAGGAGAGGGCCGCTTTGGGACAGAAACTGTAGAACTTGAGGATCACCCTGCTTTTTTTTTTTTTTTTTTCTTTATCCTTTCCCTTTTTGCTTTTGCACTCATGCTCTCTCCTCTGACTTGAACAATGACTTCCTTGTTTCCTCTTACTCAAAGCCATGAAGCTAATGACTTCTCTGGTAAGAGTTGCCCTCCAGTTGAGTCTGCACAAAGACAACAATCAACGTCAGTATGAGGCTGAACGAAACAAGGGGCCAGAACAGAGAGCACTGGAGCGACTGGAGAGTCTGCTGGAGAAACGAAAAGAGGTGAGGAGGTCCCTGGCCCCTTCTCCAGACCTTATCAGGCTCCACCACTTCTCTCAGTAAGCAGACCTCAAGCAGCCTTCCAGATAAGGAATAGGGACTGGCACCGGTATTCCCAAACTCATCCTATCAGAAGTCATTATGTGTTCCTCTTATTTCTGAGACATAGGCTCACAGATATTTTAATTTGGAAAAATATTAGAATTTCTATATTTCAACTTTCAGTTTCTGTTGGTCTGCAAGCATTATCAGCAGTGCTTAAATGTTATGCTGGCATGCCAATTTGAACTTTATGTTAAATGTACAGCACAGGTTATCATAGGGTGCTGAACAACAACAGATGATAAGCAGGGGTGGGGGGTCAAGTTATTGGGAAATAGAAAGAGCACATACCTACCTTCCAGTCACACCTGGATATCAGTTTTGTTCTAGTAGTTGTTGTTATAGAGGGCCTTATGTAACTTCTAAAACTTGAGTTTCATTTTCTTTAAAAAGAGGGATAATTCTTCTGGTAGGAATTTGGAGAAGGGAAAGAATATGACCAAAATATGTTGCATGAAAAATATTAAAAAATTTAAAATAACTAAAGGGGTTACTCTACCTTTTAATCAAAAATGAGATAATGATAGAATTGGCTACCCAGTCACACAGTAAGTTTTGTTTTACTTGTGGTAGGCTTTTCATCACTCTGACAGATATCTGAGAGGAATAGTTCAGAGAGGAAAGGGTTTATTCTGGCTCATAGTTTCAGAGGTTTCACTCATGTTCAAGTGGTTCCATGGCTTTGTGCCTCCAATGAGGCTGACTGTTAAAGCCTAGGTTATGATGGAGCAAGGACACTTGCTTCATATATGAAGCAGAGAGGAGAGGGATGGGTTTGGGGACAAGCTATTTCCTTCAAAGACATGACCCCAGTGACTTATGTCATCCAGTTAAGCCCTATCTCCTCATACACCCATTTAGCTATGAACTCATAAATGGATTAATCCATTGGTGAAGTTAGAACCCTTAGGATCCAGTCACCTCTTAAATCTGTCAGCAGGCAGCCGTGTGTGTGTGTGTGTGTGTGTGTGTGTGTGTGTGTGTGTGTGTGTGAATGTGAATCTTTGAGGAGGGATTTTTAATTTTTAAACTATAATACCTTTGTCACAGTAAGCCCTGGGAAAATCTTTTAGACTGATTGAACTTCAAATAGCAGTGGTTGAGCTAAACACTAATATACCTATCTTCTGCTTCTTGCTAGTATCTGACTCTCCTCCACCTTGAGGTTGGTAGAACATGCCATTTCTAACTGTATCTATTAATGATATTCCCAATCCTCATGAAAAAAAAAGCAATAACTTCTCTGCTATGCTGAAAGGGAAGGAAATAATTACTACTTTGTATGTCTGCCTCTTTTACTTGCTCACTTGTTTTCTTTTTCTATGGCACTGAGAATTGAGTCCAAGACCTTATCTCTGACAAGAAGGCACCATCACTGAGCTGTATCATTCTGAGAAGCAAACTTTGTGTTACTCCATTCTCATTTGCTGTTTTTTATTATCAGGATGATGTTAAAGGCCTACATATACTAGTAGAACTGTCTATGATTTTAATTATATGTAATGGACCCACATTAGATCTGAAGGTGAGATTTTTGTGGTTTCAGTTTCCCACAGTCAACAAAGGTTCAAAAATCTCCAAAGTAGCTGGCCATAGTGGCACACACCTTTAATCCTAGCACTTAGGAGGCAGAGGCAGGAGGAGCTCTGTGAGCTCTCGGCCAGCTAGGATGAATAATGAGGCCTTGTCTCAAAAACAAAAGGGAATACCAAAGAACAGTAAGACTGATTTGAGAGAAAAGGTGGGAGAAAGACAGAGACAAAAATTCACATAACATTATTCCAGCATTATTTTTGTTACTCTGTACAATTTACAAACTAGTGTCTCATAGGTATATATATACATACATAAACACATAATACAGTTTGAACATCCTTAATCTGAAAATTTGAATTCCAAAATGTCCACAAAATTTTTTAAGCACCAATGTGACACTTTTTTTTTTAATTTTGGAATATTTTTCAGATTTGGATTTGGAAATTGTGTTTTCAGTAAATCTAAATGTTCCAAAATCCAAAAACTATAAAATCTATAACACCACTGGTCCCAAGAATTTTATATAAAGATATGCTCAACCTATGTGGATGGTATTTGATGCTTGAGAGTCTTGGTATTTAATCTCTATGAAAAGGGAAAGCTGCACTAGTGTGACTCTTTTCTTATTTTCTGGACTCTTCCTCCGTTGTCCTCCTCCCACTGTAGTTCCCCTCCCATATTGTTTTCTTCTGCTCATTTGTGAGTGTGTATCTACCCTTTAGTCTGCTTCTGTAATAAAGACTGTACATTACTTCCTTACTTCCTTGACTTCCCACTAAATGAGATAGTACCTAGTTTCTAACCCCATTTTTTTCAAATACTTTTCTCCAAACAAGTGCATCTTGCCATCAGTGGTCTTCTCTCAGTTTCCCTTTTGCAGACTTCTGTAAAATTTGATACTGATGATCTTTTAAATGGAAAAAACTAAAGAATGAATACCATATACATAGTGCATTCCATAAACAATATTTTATTATATTAGCTTATCTGTTTTGATAACTTTAGTAAGTTGTAGACATAGTAGCTTTTCAGCCCTAAAGGTTTAAGTATATCCTTTTAAAAGTAGCATGTTTTTGTTACCTAATGCCACTTTTTTCATGCCTCAGAAGGTCATGATTCCTTAATACTTTGTAATCCAGACTTAAAATTCGCCATCTAGGATTTAAGTAAGGGTATTTCATGGTGCTGTTTCTGGAGCCTCTTTAAATATTCTCTTCCTTGGGATAGTGTCTTTTTTATGTAGCCTAGGCCTCACTCCCCTTCAATTTCCCTTGTGCTAGGATTAGAGGTATGTACTAACACCTGGCCTCCTCTTTTAATCTTACACAGAATGTCTGCTTCCTCAGATTTCCCCCAATATATTGATGTATTGAAGAAATAGGATTAGTTGTTTCAAGATGTTTTCTCCTTATAATTCTGCTTCCTTAGTATCTAGTTCATCTAGTCCAGGGTTTCTCAGTAGTGGCATTATTGACACTGGGAGACTGTCCTGGCCTTGTATATTATTAGCACTGTTCCCTTGCCTCTTTCTGCTAGATTCCAGTACTTTGATACACTACCCAGTCATGACAACCAAAACTTTATTTTTTTGAGAAATTTGTACAGTGCATTTTGATCACAGTGCATTTTGATCATATTCATCCCTCCCCAACTCCTCCACCCCACATCTCTATACATCCATCTTTGTGGCCTCTTTCTTCTTTTTCATCCATTAAGTACAGTTTGTGCTACTTATATACTCTTAGATATGCGGGCTAACAAAGGAGCACAATTTGCTTACCAAAGGCAATACTCTCAAAGAAAACTGACTCTCCCTTTACCAGCAGCTATCAGTTTCTAGTAGCTTCTAAGCTAGGGGTGGGACTTAATGTAAATCTCCCTTTTCCATGCTGGGATTTGCATCACTTGAGCTTGTAAGGGGCTTGTGCCCTTTACACAGAGTCACTATTCAGAGTCACTATGAATTCATATGTAGTCCTGCTGTGTCCAGAGGACGGACACTGTTTTCTTGTATTTATATACCACTTCTGGCTCTTCTCCAATAATACCTGAACCTTGGGAGGAGGGGATTCAGATATTGCCAGGCACCCTCTGCGGAACAAAATTGTCCAGCGGAAAATTACTGATCCAATCACTTTCATCTCTTTTTACTGGTTATACTTTTATCATAATGCACTTAAAAATTTGTTTTGTTAAAAATTTATTTTGAAGCTGGTGAGATCACTCTGGGTTAAAAACACTTGTTTGCAAGCCTAAGTTCATCTCTAGTACCTACTGAAACTGACATATATACTTACATACATACATGCATACATATACACACATAAAACTCAATGAAATTTTTTAAAAATTTCATTTCCCCAATTAATAGTAATCAAAAACAAAACTGGCTGGGTAGTGGTGGTGCATTCAGGAGGCAGAGGCAGGCAGGTCTCTGAGTTTGAGGCCACCCTGGTCTACAGAGTGAGTTTCAGGACAGCCAGGGCTCCACAGAGAAACCCTGTCTCAAAAACAAACAAGCAAACAAACAAACAAACAACAAAAAACTGTCAGGGCTGGAGAGATAACCCAGCAGTTAAGGGCACTGGCTGCTCTTCCAGAGGACCTGGGTTCAATTCCCAGCACCCATCTGGCAGCTCACAACTGTCTATAACTCTAATATCAATGCACATTAAAAAAAAAGTTGAATGAGTTTTTAAAAATCTTTTTTAAAACTGTCAGCTATGAATAGAATAATCCCAATCAGAAGCCCCCCCTTTTAAAGATTTGTGTGTGGGGGTGAGTACAAAGGTGTCCAAAAGAGGATGTCAGATCTCTGGAGCTAGAGTTACAGGTAATTTTGAGCCATATGATATGGGTCCTGGGAACTGAACTTGGATGCTCTGGAAAAGCAGTTATGTACTCTTAATTACTGAACCATCTCTCTATTTTCTAGGGGCATTATTTTTTATCAAACGCAAAGCAACCTTTGAGGCATTATACTCTGTTTCTTCTGTAATTAATTAGAAGGGTTCACACAATATTCTTCAATAAACAGGAAGTGGGTAGATGTTGGATTTTTCTGTGTTATCTATGATGTTGTGTTGCTGCAGTAAAGAGGGATAGACTGACCTCATTCCTTCCTCCAGTTCCAAGAGAATCAAGAGGAGATAGAGGGGATGATGAATGCCATATTCAGAGGTGTCTTTGTCCATCGGTACAGGTGAGTCAGTTATGGTCTCTTACTGAAGTTACTGCCCTTGCTGATAGCATGGGGAATGACAAGGCCCTTTCCAGTGTTGAGTTTTGTAGTTAGTTCCAGGACTATTGCAGCTGGAGTGCAAACTGACAGATATGTTTAATTAGTCAATATCTGATTTAGCCCTACCTATAAAGGATCTTGTGAGTTCTGGGAAGGGAAATCAGAAATCAAGATATCATTTAGTATTTTCTTCTTGACATTTCCCACATCCTGGCCCTGCCTCTGTCTTTCTAGAGTTGGAAACTTGAGCAGGCAGGAGCAGAGACCTAGAAAGTGGCTTTCCTGAGACATGTCTGGCTCAGCAAGCCTTTTCCTAGCCCAGCCTGTGGTTTCACTATGCTAAGGGTAGGGGAGTTTCATAGTGTTTGAAGAACTAATGGAATTAAATTTTACCTGTTTTAGAATTAAATTAGAGTATTTGTAGTAGTGTCTCACTTTTGGAGTAGGGGGAATACAAGGTTAAACTATCTCATATGTTGGTTATAGAAAGTAGCATTTAATTTCATATATTTCATGTGTTTACATTAGAATGAGGAAATGAAAGGCCTAGTACCTGGTATTTTGTCACAAACGTAACTTCTTTGAGAGTGCTGTGTGGTAGGCCAAAAAGTAACTTTTGAGAGAAAGTAATATGTCAGTTTGTCTCTCTGTCTAGGGATATACTTCCTGAGATCCGTGCTATCTGCATCGAAGAGATTGGGTGTTGGATGCAAAGCTACAGCACCTCCTTTCTTAATGACAGCTACCTAAAATACATTGGCTGGACCCTGCATGATAAGGTTGGGCTGAGTCAGCCTCCTTCTTCTAACCCACTTCTTCTGACCTTTCCTGAGACACTTCACCTTTTCTTGGTCTGCCACTCAGACATTTCACAATGATCCCCCAATCAAGACATTAAACCTTGAGGTTAGTGAAATGCTGAGAAAGGTAGGATAAAGCAGAAAGGAGAAAAGCATTCAGGAGTCAGAATACCTTTGAAACCTTCTGTCATGGAGGAAGAAGGTATTCCCTATGAAACAGCAAATTGGTGATGGAAACACTAATGCCAAAGGAACTTTTTCGTCATGATTGTCGAGTGCTTCTATGAAAGCCTTTTGTGTTTTCAGTGAGAAGTCAGCTCTTTACTGTTTCTTACATTCCAAGAATCTTCAGTGTAGTGATCACCCATGCCCAGAATGAATAACAGTGAGGGGCACATGGAGGCTCTGTAGGGATCATTGGTCAGTCATGTTTCCCTTTTCCTATTTCCTTCCTCAATAGCACAAGGATGTCCGCCTAAAGTGTTTGAAGGCTCTGGAAGGGCTGTACAGCAACCAGGAGCTGAGCACACGTATGGAGCTCTTTACCAATCGCTTCAAGGTAAGATGGAAACAGCATTTCCAGGTTTGGCTCTTTGCTGTGCTTCCCATTTCCCCACTTCAGGTCTTTCCACCTAGTTTCTCTGGCAGACTAACAGCTGTTCTGGATATAGCTCCTGCTCCCTCTGTGTGAGTTCAGATTCCAAGAGACTGTGCTGTTTGGAATGGGTGCAGTGAGAGATTGGATAATGTTCTTTGCACAGGACAGGATGGTTTCCATGGTCATGGACAGAGAGTGTGAAGTGGCAGTGGAGGCCATCAGGTTGCTGACCCTTATCTTGAAGTGAGTTGTGGGAAGTGGGGAGGCAGCCTCACAGACTTGCCTTTGTAGCCTCAAACAAGTCCCTCCAGAGTTCTGTCCCCACCTGTCACAATCGACCTTCCTTGTGTGTAGATTAGAAGACAGAGGGCATTCCTGAGTTGTAGAATGGAGGTGTACTTCCCTATCATTAATTCTCCCACTGTTTACTTCGGGGCTCACATTTTCAGTGAGTCGTGTCCTTGTAGGTGTTGCCGTGTTTTGTTCTACCCCTGGCTATATGAGAGGACTATCACACACACACATCCTTTCTCCTTTTCTCTTGCAGGAACATGGAGGGAGTCCTGACCAATGCTGACTGTGAGAAAATCTATTCCATTGTGTACATTTCTAACCGTGCCATGGCCTCTTCTGCAGGCGAGTTTGTATACTGGAAGTGAGTGGTCTATGTTTGTAATACTGTTCCCCCTTCTCTCTCTCTCTCTCTCTCTCTCTCTCTCTCTGTCTCTCCCTCTCTTCTCCTCTCTCTCTCCCACCCCTCTCTGCTCCACCTAGGGACTCATAAAAATTATTGAAGTCTCTCTTGTCCCTTTCCTCTCTCAACCCCATGGGATTTCCTTAGTCTCCTCTTGTCCATTTGTTCTCATTTCCTTCCATGCCATGCTCTTTCCTTGTATCCATCCTACCAGGATCTTCTATCCTGAGTGTGAGGCAAAAGCAGTGGGTGGCAGGGAGCGACGCCGGAGTCCACAAGCCCAGAGGACTTTCATCTACCTTTTACTGGCCTTCTTTATGGAGAGTGAGGTAATGTAGGAAGGGGATGTTATGCCCAAGACCTGTAAGTAGAGGGCAAGATAGGCAGTGGGTAGGAGGGTCCTGCTTACCAACAACCACTTGCTGGAGCAGTTCAGTGTGGCACTGGTGGATGACTTATTGAGAACCTTTTTTCACAGCATCACAATCATGCTGCTTACTTGGTAGACAGCTTGTGGGATTGTGCAGGGTCTTATCTGAAGGACTGGGAGAGTCTGACAAGCCTGCTACTGCAGAAGGACCAGAGTATGTACCACATGGTAGCTGGGGTTGGGTATCTTAAACCTTGTAGTGTGAAACAGAGAGGTTTTTTTGTTTGTTTTTGCCTGACTTGGAAAAAGCAGCAGTGTGTTCTGGGGAGAGAATGTGGAGATGGAGGATGGCTAATCTGTGGTTTTATTTTTGATCCTCTTTCTATCCCAGATCTAGGTGATGTGCAGGAGAGAATGCTGATAGAAATCCTTGTGTCCAGTGCCCGGCAAGCTGCAGAGGGTCAGCCACCAGTGGGGCGTATCACAGGGAAGAAGGTGGGTTAGTAGGTCAGTAGTATTGGAGCCAGATGGCTATTGGCCATCTTCACCTTTATATTCTGGGTGAGGGTCTAGATTCTTTTTCTTTCCCTCTAAGAATCCTATCTCCAGATAAAAGATATCTGAAAGGATATGTTGAGTGTTTCTTCCTCAGATAGAGAAGTTCATGGAACAGAAGTGTGTGTAGATACACTTATCCTCTGTACCCAGTGTTTCTTCACAGATTCTCACCCCCTATGACTAATCCAGGGTCTGACTGCCAAAGAACGCAAGCTTCAGGCTTATGACAAGGTGAAGCTGGCTGAGCACCTCATCCCCCTCTTGCCCCAACTCCTGGCCAAGGTAAGAGCCTCTCATACAGCCCAGGGTATAAGTGGGTAAGGGACCAACCCCAAGGCAGGATGGGGGAAGGATTTGTTTCTTGTCTCTTAATTAACAGGACACTCTGTCCACTACAGTTCTCAGCAGATGCAGAGAATGTTGCTCCCCTGCTCCATCTGCTCAGTTACTTTGACCTCAGCATTTACTGCACTCAGCGCTTGGAGAAGGTAAGGAGGAAGTTAATTTCCTAGATCTGGCTGCTCGCTTGCAACTAACCTAGTGGTTGGTTGGTTTGTTTCCACAAGGCTCTGGGTTCAGGAAGAATTATAAGCCCATCTATCTTATTCTTATACATCACTACTTTCATCCTCCTATGTCACTCTTCAGCCTATACTACACCATGCTTTGTCTCCTTTTTAGCACTTGGAGCTGCTTCTGCAACAACTCCAGGAGGTAGTGGTGAAGCATGTGGAGCCTGAGGTGCTTGAGGCTGCAGCACGAGGCCTCTATCTGCTCTGTAAGCGGGAGTTCACCTTCTTCAGCAGAGTGGACTTTGCCCGAAGCCAACTAGTGGATCTTCTGACTGATAGATTCCAGCAGGAACTTGATGACTTAATGCAGGTGGTGCTAAACAGCACGGCACCCCAGGGAGGGTGAGAGAGGGGCAGGGTTAATAATGAGTTCTTGAGAAACTCTTGCTATGATCCTCTTTGTTCCTCAGTCGTCCTTCCTAGATGAGGATGAGGTATACAGTTTGACAGCCACTCTGAAGCGTCTCTCTGCCTTTTACAAGTGAGCTTCTCTCCTGCACCCTTTCCTTTCTCATAGTGTTGATGGAATTGGTTCCCTTGGATGTGTCCCAGCATAACATTCCCTTCTGTCTCCCTACAGTGCTCATGACCTCACTCGCTGGGAGATCTATGAACCATGTTCTAGACTCCTCCAGAAGGCTGTGGACACAGGAGAAGTTCCTCACCAGGCAGGTGATGGGTTTGACACACAGAGGCAAGAGATGACCCAGAACCTGTGTCCTAGAGGCCACCTTGCCCAGGCAGCCCCAGTTCTTGGGTGTGCAGTAGACTAGGGAGGAAGGGCGGGTGGGTTATCATTTCTGTTCTTCTCTGAGGTAGACTGGAGGCTTCAGCCTGAAAATAGCTATCCTCTTGGGTTCCTGGGAGCCACTGAGAATGCTGAGGAGTTCTAGGAGACTGACTAAACCAGAAAGATGTGACATTTCTGTCTAGGCTAGAAGCTTCTGAAATAATCCCTTCTTTTCCATCAGAAAGGAATTTTCTTTCCTTGGTCTGTCTTCTCTTATCTTTTTTGGGATGATGTTTGTTATTGTTTTGTTTGTTTTGAGACAGGGTATCTCTATGTAGCCCTATCTGTCCTAGAATTTGCTTTGTTGTCCAGGCTGGCCTCAGACTCAAAGAATTCTCAGAATTCCTCCTGTCTCTACCTCCTGAGTGCTGGGATTCAGGGGCGTGTACCACCTTACTCCAGCTTCTCTCTCCTTACTGACTGTGTGTGTGTGAGAGTGCTGACACTTCCTCACTCTTACTCTCTGGTCTCCTGATCTGACTCAGACCCCATTTTTCTGACATGTTTTTGTTACAGGTGATTTTACCAGCCCTGAGTCTTGTATATTTTTCCATTCTCTGGACATTAACCCACATTTCAGAGTCTACTTCCCAAGTGAGTGTGAGTTTGAGGAAGAGAGTGGGAATGGAGGAGCCTGAACCTCCATTCCTCTCTGAAGTAAACTGCTCTCTTTACAGAAGCAGCTGATGAGTCTAAAGAAAAGAATGGTAGCCTTCTGTGAACTTTGTCAGAGCTGCCTCTCAGATGTAGACCCAGAGATCCAGGAGCAGGTGAGTATGTGTCCAAAGTTTCAGAAGACTGTTCTCCAGAGAAATGAGCTTTGTAATTACAGTCTTTGTAAGTATTCTGATTTTTGTAATCATCCTTTTTTTTTCCCCCTCTCTCCCCAACAGGCTTTTATCTTACTGAGTGACTTGCTTCTCATCTTCAGCCCTCAGATGATTGTAGGGGGACGGGATTTCCTAAGGCCCCTTGTCTTTTTCCAGAAGCTACTCTCCAGTCTGAACTAGCGAGTTTCCTCATGGATCATGTCTTTCTCCAGCCTGGAGAACTGGGCAATGGTACAAGAACTCTAGGTCCAGAGCTCAGGAAAGATTTGGGGCTGAGCCTGACTACAGTACCTTGTGCAAGAGGCCTAAGCCTGTGACTGCTTCTTTTTTGCTGGGCAGGTCAGTCCCAGGAGGATCATGTCCAGATAGAGCTTCTGCACCAGAGGCGCCGTCTGCTTGCTGGATTTTGCAAGCTGCTGCTCTATGGGGTACTGGAGCTAGACGCAGCCTCAGATGTTTTCAAACACTATAACAAGGTAATCAGATCCCTGACATGAAAGAGAGGGACCAAGTTGAACACAGCCCATCATCTAAGAAAGATGCATCTAAGAACACTGCATCATCTAAGAAAGGAAGTCAGAGGTTGAGGATAGCCTGAGAGTATCAGGCTTAAAAGAGAGTATCCCTCTCTAATTTACTGAGCACCTGCTGTGCACAAGACATGCCAGGTACTAAGGGTGAAGCAGTGAGCAGCACAAAAGGTCTTGTTCTACAGAATTCTAGACTGGTGGGAGGGACATGTAGGCTCCAGTGTAGTCTGAGTGCAGGTACTGATGCCCCACTCCTTTTCGCCAACATTTGGGTTCAACAATATCAGCCCTTAGGGCTTTTTTCCCCAGTAAGTCTGGTTTCTTTTGGACACTGCACTATTAGAGATGAGGTTTAGTCTGAGTTATATATGCTCACATTATTGTTTTCCTACCTAAGTTTCTTTGGGAAGGAGTTGTGATTAGGGATATGAAGGAAGAAACCAAAGAGAGTTTGTTTTTTGGTTTCCCCCCCCCTGTGGCTAATGTTACCTTCATCTCCCTTAGTTCTATGAAGACTATGGTGACATTATCAAGGAAACATTAACTCGAGCAAGACAAATTGACCGATGTCAATGCTCACGGATCCTACTTCTGAGTCTAAAGCAGGTGATCTTCTCTGGATTTGTCACAACTATGGCACACTCTTCCTAGAAGCCCACCTCACTGTCTAGCCCCAGCATCTTAGGGATGATGCCACAAGATCTTTAAGGACAGAAACTTTCTTGACTCATTTCTTGTGACATGTTTCTCCACACCTTATAAATCCTGTCTTAGTCATTGTCTTATTGCTGTGAAGAGAAACCATGACCAAGGCAACTCTGATATTTTAAATTGAGGCCTTGCTTTCAATTTCAGAGGTTTTAATCCTTTATCATCATGTCAGAGAACATGGTGGCATGCAGGCAGACACTGGAGCAGTAGCTAAGAGCTATATCCTGATTCTTAGGGCAGAAAGAGGAAAGGTAACACTGGGCTTGATTTGGCCTTTGAAACCTCAGAGCAGCCCACCCTAGAGGCACACTTTCTCTAGCAAGGCTACACTTCCTAATCCTTTTAACCTGTTTAGCTGTTTAGTCCTCTAGCAAAGTCACACCTCCTAATTTTTCTAATCCCTGATGACTAAGTATACAAATGTATGATCCTCTGGGGACAATTCTTATTTAAATCATCACAGACCCTAATCTAACAGACCAGGCAGTTTCTTCTTTACCCAAACCCCATAGAAATCAGTTTTTAATACCAATACTAAAGTTATAGGGAATTCTTAAAATGTTTACTGTTATATAAGTTGGTGTCTTATCTGCATGTACGTTTATGCATCATGTGCCTATGAAGCCAGAAGAGGGAATCACATCCCCTGGGACTGGAGTTATAGATGGTTGTGAGCCACCATGTGGGTGCTGAGAATTGAATCCAGGTACTCTGAAGAGCAGCAAATGCACTTAGCCACTGAGCCAGCTCTCCAACCTCTAGGGAATTCTTAATTAATTTTTAGCCTGTTTTCTTACAGTCTCCTTCATTTATGACAGACATTTAATTTTTAAAAAACATTAATTTATTTTGTGTGTGTTGCTGGGGTGGGAGGGAAACATGTACCACTGTGTAAGTGTGGAGATCAAAGAAAATGTGGAAATTGATTCTCTCCTTCTACCATGTGGGTTCTGGGGATTGAATTCAGGTTGTCAGCCTTGGTAGCAAGCCTTTTTACCCACTAAGGCATTTTAGCAGCCTGATGAGAGACATTTTTATTTGTCACTGTAGAGCTAGATTGCTGAGGATGGTGCTCAGTGATAAAGTGCTCAACCCTCATGTGTGAGGCTATGTTTGTTCCTCAGGAGCATAGTTTTAAAAACCCTCAGCTCTGAGGTGCTCTGCTTTTAAGGGTTCAGGATATGGATGTATCTAGGGAGAAAGGATAGTAGATGGCATTCCATACCCCACGCCTTGTGGAATCTTGAGTAGAGAGTTATGCTTTTCTAGAACTCCCTTGTCTCCTTTTCCAAATGTGCCTTGTCTCCTGGACACAGCTGTACACAGAACTGATGCAGGAGCAGGGCCCCCAGGGCCTGACGGAATTGCCAGCCTTCATCGAGATGAGGGACTTGGCCCGGAGATTTGCCTTGAGCTTTGGACCCCAGCAGCTTCACAACCGAGACCTTGTGGTCATGCTGCACAAGTGAGGAAGTGCTGGTTGAAGGTTGGGCACAGGGAATCCAGGGGTTGGTGGGAAGGGTAGCCATGTACAGAAGTAGCAGGCAGGCTGATGGTGAGTGTGGCCTGAGCAGCAAGGGTGTGGGGATGGTACGTTTGGTTAGAATGATTCAGACCCTAACTGAAATAATTCTACCCAATCAAGGGAAGGCATCAAGTTCTCATTGTCTGAGCTTCCTCCTGCTGGCTCTTCTCGTGAGCCACCAAATCTTGCATTCCTGGAGCTCCTTTCAGAGTTCTCCCCTCGCCTCTTCCATCAGGATAAGCAGCTGCTGTAAGTTAGTGGTTGAGCAGACATGGATTTACATAAGAGTCTGGGGTGGGTTGAGTTCATGCATTCTCTGTACCATCCCTTCTTAGACTGTCCTACCTGGAAAAGTGTCTGCAGCATGTCTCCAAGGCACGTCATCCCTGGGGTCCAGTTACCACCTACTACCATTCCCTCAACCCTGTAGAGAACACAGCAGAGGCCAGCCCTAAGGGACCTCCTCACTCCAAGAAGAGGCGTGTTGAAGGTAAGGGGTCAGGGATTGGATAGGTAGGCAACATCCTAGTTGCCTTTGCCTGAATTAACAGGACATAAGTTTTAATCTCCTTCAAACTTACACCTCACCGAATATTTCATCAAGCACCAGCTGTCATTCATTTTCTTAATTTAGCTAGCCAGCTTACAATAGCAAACTGGAAAAAATGACATAGAAACTAATGATAAGCCAAGGATCAAGCAGTCTTTTTTTTTTTTTAATTTTTTTCCTTTTTTAAAATTTATTATTTTTTCTTATTTTACATACCGATCCCAGTTCCCTCTCCCTCCTTCCCTCCCTCTCTTCTTCCCTCCCTCCCATGCCTTCTACCCCCTCTCATCCCATTCCCTACCCACTCCACAGGGAGGGTGATGCCTTCCAGGAGGGATCATCAAAATCTGTCAAGTCATTTGGCGTAGGGTCTAGGCTCTCCCTCCTCTCTCTAGGCTAAGGGAGCATCCCTCCATGGGGAATGTGCTCCCAAAGTTCTTTCATGCACTAGGGATACATCCTGGTTCCACTATCAGAGGTCCCTTAGACTGCCAAGACTTCTGAGACCCATGTCTGGTCTGAGTCTGTACAATGCTGGTTTCCCAGCTATTAGTCTGGGGGTCCATGAGCTCCCCCTTATTCAGGTCAGCTATCTCTGTGGGTTTCTGTAGTCTGGTCTTGACCCCTTTTCTTATCACTCCTCCCATCTCTGCAACTGGATTCCAGGATTTCGGCTCAGTGTTTAGCTGTGGGTGTCTGCTTCTGTTTCCAACAGCTACTACATGAAGGTTCTAGGATGGCATATAAGTTAGTTATCAATCTCATTATCAGGCATTTAAGGTAGCCTCTCCACTGTTGATCAAGCAGTCTTTTCATGATACATTTCCTTGACAGCAAACAATGCACTGATTTTTTTCAAATAACTTTCAGATTACCACTTGTCTTAAACTTACCTAATGTATTTAATTTGCTTTTTTAAACATTTTCTTAAGTAATATTCTAATCATTTGATATGTTAATGTGTTTGCTAACATGCACTTTAAATTGTGACTTTAAAACTGTAAACCGTTTTAATGAGATAATTTACATACCATAGAAGTCAAAGTCATCTTTTTTAAGTATGCACTTCAATGACTTTTATGTTTCCTCAACAAGTTTTAAGTAAGTGTGTGTGTTTGTGTGTGAGAGTGTGTGAATATGCATGTGAGCACAGATACCTGTGAACTGAACTCTGATCTTTTGAAAAATCAGTATATGCTCTTAACTGCTAGCCATCACTTCGCTACTTTTTTTTTTTTAATTTTTAGTTCTTAATCTTTTTGTTTACATTTTTTTGTTTTGTTTCGAGACAGGGTTTCTCTGTGTAGCTCTAGCTTTCCTGGAACTCATTTTGTAGACCAGGTTGGCCTTGAACTCACATAGATCTACCTGCCTCTGCCTCCTTAGTGCTAGGACTAAAGGTGTGTGCCACAATTACCCAGCAAGTTTTTAATCTTGAAACTTTAACATTTAAATTTTACTAGTCTTAAAATTATTTTGTGTGTTGATGTATATAGCATGCATTTGCCACATTGTGCATGAAGAGGTTAGAGGACAATGCTGTAGAGATAACTTTCTTTTACATGGATTCTGAGTATCAAACTCATTCAGAGTCTTTTCAGCTAGAAATTTTACCTGCTGAATCATTTTGCTATTCCACCAATCTTTAATAATGTTCAGACACTTGATTGCTCCAAAAGAAGCCATATCCCCGTTAATGTTCATAGTTCTTCTAGCCCTGGGTGCTGTTACTGACCTTCCTCTCTCTGAATTTGCCTCTGGCAGACACTTTGTGGCTTTGTGTGTCTGTCTTTGGGGTTATTTCTATAGCAAAATAATAGTTCATTGTATGGCCATTACCTATTTTACTTACTCATATGTTAACTAACATTTGAATTTCCATTGTTTGACTGGTGAGCATAGTGCTGCTAAAATTTGCATATAAGGTTTTGAGTGGACATATCTTGAGATATTATTAGGAATGGAATTTCTGGCTAGGTATATGGAAGCTCTACATTTAACTTTATAACAAGTTACCAAACTGTTCTCCAAAGTGCCTGCACCATTTACATTTCTATCAGTAATGGTTGGGAACACAAGTTCTTCTTCCTCTCTCAGTATTTGTGACTGTCTGGGTTTCTTCTTTTTTATTTTCTCAGTCTCCAAGTGACTGAATTACTCTCTTCAATTTGTATTTCTACTGACTAATAAAATTGAGTTTTCTACTTCATGTTCTTATGGATCATTGATATTTAGTGACTTGTTTATTAAGATATTCTATTTCTTTTTGAGACAAGTTCTTGTCTCTATAGGCAGTACTTGAACTCTGTATAGTGAAAGATGACCTTGAACTTCTGAGTTTTCTGCCTCTACTTCCCAAGTAATGGGGTAACAGACATTGGCCACCATGTTCGTTTAAAATTGTGTTGTCTTTTTATTGTTGAGTCATTGAGAGTTTTTTATATGTTCTAGATAGACTTTTGTTAGGTAAAGAGAAAAAAAAAGGTCTCAAATTCTGTGGGTTACCTTTTTATTTTTTGTTGGTATTCTTCATTAGGATAAGTTCTACCTTACCTATTTTTAATTTTTTTTTTTTTTTTTTTTTACAAAACAGGGTTTCTTTGTGTAGCTTTGAAGCCTGTTCTGGAACTCACTCTGTAGACTGGGTTGGCCTCGAACTCACAGAAACCTACCTGCCTCTGTCTCCTGAGTACTTAGATTAAAGGCATGTGCTACCACTGCCTGGCTATTTTTAATTGTTTAACTTGTACTCTTTGTGTAATGTCTAGTTGACTAATTAACCATTGGCAAATCCAAGTTCACAAAGATTTACTTAATGCCTACAGCCTCTGCTGTCTATAATCCTTCATATAGGTTAATGGTGGTGACTTTTGGGTTGTTGGTTTCTGTGTACATACATGGTTACGGAAGAGGAAGAGAGTCAATAGAATGCTCACCCCTGGCAAGTGCGGATTTGACTAATGTTTTAAAATCACATTACCACCTGGGTTTTCTCAGGAAAAGAGAGCCTGTGATGTGGATACCTCAGTTGGTGGCATCTTCCTTTTTTGCCCTCTATAGTTGGCAGAGAAAGTACTTTGCCTCCCCTGGTAAGATGACATTTGCATTGCCATTCTTTCATCTTTTGACTTTAGAAAACCTTGTCTCCCTGGCCTTTATGCATCCACTCCAGCCTCTGGTCCCAAAATGGTTACCATCAATCTAGAATGGATAGGATTTCAGAATTCATGGCCCAACACACTGCCTAATTTTAGAGAGTCAGTCATCTCCCACATTTGTCATCAAATGTTTATGCCCTCTGTGAGGTGGATATTTGTCTCTGTCTGCCTTGTTTCCTAGATAGGTAGTATTTGCCAGGATAGGAGATATACATAAATGGTACAGCATCACATTGTACACACAAGTACATTGTTATTTAAGGCTCTGCTCATTGAGGTGGAATAAAATAAGGCTACAGAGGTTTTCCATTCTTTTCTGCTTAACTTTCCCTTAATAAACTCTGGACAGGTTTTGTAAAAGTAACCCATGGCAGTTTCCTGATCTATTTGATACGTGTACTTGCTTCTTTGTGAGGCCCCTGTAGGCCTCAGGGAGAAGAGCCCTCATTCCAGGAAGAAAGCCTTCAACTGAACAGTAGCCCCCCTACACCTACCCTCACCTCCACAGCAGTGAAGAGGAGGCAATCCCTGAGACCAGTGGGCAAGAGGCAAAAAGGTAGACCAGGACCCAGATCAGAGCTGATCTGCAGGTGAGGCTGGGGAAGCCATAGTGTTTCTGTTCTTGCCCCAATGATACACTCTGATCTTTGTGTGCTTCTCTGTTGCTTCTATAGCTGCAAAAGAGCTTTGTGACACTCTGTGCATTCTTTACTCTTTTTACCCTTTGCTTTTTCTCAGACCCTGTCTCTGACCCTGCTTTATTCTCAACAGTCAGCAACTTTCAGGCACCCAGAAGTTCAAGATGTCAAGTGCACATTATTTCCAGATTCAGTGTGATCCTTCAGGCTCTGGTTTGGGCAAGCAGCTGACCCGGTGAGATTCCCCCTTCCCATGGTGCTGTTACTAATCTGAGTCAGTGCTCCTTGGATTATCTTGGACCCAGAATATCCCTTCCAGTATAGCATGTCTTTCCAGTGTGCAAAAGACTGCTTCCCCCAGAAGTAGGAGTGGGCACTAGAGCCCTCATTCCTGCTCCACTTGCTGGTAGTCCTTCTTTCCCTGTGCCTATGAGAAAGTCAGGGGCCTGAAAGCACTATCTGAAAATCTACTCCGCCACTACCACAGACTCAGCCTTATGGAAGAGGATGAAGAAGAAGAGCTAGGACTTCTAGATGGATCAAGTGAAGAATGGCAAGGTGGAGACAAGGTTGGACCCAGCAGTTCCTTTTTCCCAAAACTAGAGGCTGAGGTGCCTGTTCTCAGCCTTCATGATGCCCTTGTTTCTGAAAGCTAAAGGTTGTTGGAAAGGATCTTAGAGGGTAGGAGGAAAGGTTGCAGACTTAGTTTTGATTTTGCTTTTATTAAATAAGGAGCACAGGGATGACCAGAAGTGGTCATTTACACTTAACTGTCTCAGCACTTAGGAGACTGAAGCAAGAAGATTACTATGAATTTAAGGATAACCTGGGCTACAAAATATCTTCCAGGCCAGCCTAGACTATCCAGTAAGACCCTGCTTTGAAAACTGAAAGGAAAAGAAGTTAAATATGTGAAGGCCAGCAAGATAGTTTCGCAGCTAAAGGTCCCTCCTGCTAAGCTTGAGTTTAGTTCCCAGAACCCATGTGGTAGAAGGAGAGAAATTACTTCCAAAACTTGTCCTCTGGCTTACACACAGTACTCTCTGTCTCTGTCTCTTCCTCCCCCCCCCCTCTCTCTCACACACACACACACAAAAAAAAAAAAAAAAAAAAAAAAAGGAAAAAATAATTGGAACCACACACTTCACAGTTTTCAGATTGGTGTTGTTGCCACTGAATTTCCGAACTATTGGAAGAATTGCCTAGAGCCAGGGACAAAAATCCTCAGTCCACCCCAGCCCTTCCTTCCCTTCTCTTTCCTGATGAGGCTGCCTGTTCCTGTCCCTCCACTCACCCCTTTTCTCTTCCCTGGCTACCTGGTTTCTTAGGTGGATCATATGATCTATAAGCAAAAGAGAAAGCTTGAAGTAAGGTCAACTGAATGTCAGTCCTTAGTTTTATATCAAGTTAGCTGTTTCAGTCTCACTCCATCTTTACAATGGAGCATTTATACATAGTGTAGAGTACAAAGTGCCTCATAAACTGCAGAAAACTGTGCTTAAGCTCAGAGAAGCAGGGACTGTAGGCTTACAGATGGCAGACATTTTATTCCTTCAGCTCTGGAAGCTAGAAGCCTTGAGTTCTGGTAAATATAGATGGGTAAGGGCCCAGTGCTAGTTACATGCTGTCTCACATGCAGGCAAGAGCAAGCTAACACTGGCTTCTTGCAAAGGCACTGATATAGTTGTAAGACTCTATCCTCTCATCTAAACACATTTCAAAACTCACCTCTTACTTCTTTGGGCCCCAAAGATTAGGATCTCAACATACGTATCAAGCAGGTCCTATAGGAGATAGAGGGGAGGATAGCCTGCAGACAGTCAATCCACACTAAGCTAATACTATATGCTATTTTTTTTATTGCTGTTTCTTGTGATGGGAGAGCATGGATAGAACAGGAGAATGGAGGCTTTGTGCTTAGAGGAAAATCCAAACAGCACCTTCATACTTCTGTTGAAATAATCCATTCAGTGTGTTAGGACAATCTCATTCTCTAGCTCCAGAACTGAATTCATGTATAGGATTCAGCCAGAAGGCCAAAAGAGGAATCAATTCTGTGATTTATCCCTTAAGATTTCTGAAGGAACTGTATTTCTGTTGATGGATAGAATTTAGAAAAGCCTTTCTAACCTTTGACTGTGTTTGCTCTAGCTACTTCATAGTCCTTCTCCCAGTGAGCATGGGCTGGACCTATTAGATACTACAGAGCTGAACATGGAGGTGAGTGTTCCAGCGCTAGTGCGTATGTCCTTAGAAGTGATGGTACCCAGCTGTCTATACATCCAGTAGATGGAAAGACCACCTATTGATGGTCTTCAGTAGCCTTCTTGGGGAACTAGAATGGCTACCCCAGAATACACAACATTCTGTTTACTATTTAATCTCTTCCCATGGCTCCATGTCTTCTATCTCCTTCTGGTTGCAGGATTTCTGATGGAACTTTGGGCCCTTCTGCTTCTCCACTTCCCACTTCAAGGCCATGAGTAAGCAGAAGGAAGGAGTACAATGAAGTATTCCTTTGGGTCCCAGCCAAGTACTTTAAAGCAAAGAAAAGTGACCTTATTTTTCAAACCTCCATTTCTTTCTGAAGTGGGGGCTATATAGAGAAGCCATGAGCCCTGTCATCCTTAATGCATTAGAGCTCTATGCTTCTGCCTGTTTGCTGGGTTGGAGTTGGGTGGGGGCTTCATCTCAACACTGGACTTCAGTAAACCTTTGGTTTTCTATTTGGTACTTCTTCCCTGAAACACTGCCAAGCTGTAGATACAAAGCTCTCAATAAACATATTCATATCAGCTATTTCCAGGTGTGGTTTGAGATTGTAATGCTGATGTAGATTGGGTTCTTTGGCTTCCTTGACACTGTGGCCCCCTACTTAAGTGCCTCTATACCTACCGTCAGATATTTCCTGTATAGGTTCTCACGTATAGGTGGATCAGTCAGTGAGATGAGTGGGGCAGATGGCTGAAAAGAGTTTGGCTATCTCTGAGCCAAAGTGAGAAAAGATGGCACTGATAGGCAGTGAGATGAGACTTCTTGAAACTTGTTCTATCCACCTAGCCAGGTTACATGGGCTGCCATGTGGTGGCTGTCACCTAGTGGTTCTTTTCATACCTTAATCCTAAAGATGTGGAAGTTTTCATACTCACAATAGCTGAAAGTACAAAAATACAGAAATTATTGTACATGTTCAACCCCAAATCCAAGAACTGGAGGAAGGTGACTCTGTCCGGGCCTCAAAAGTCCTATTTCAGTGTTCTCAAACGCATATGTCTGGTCTGATAGCCACAAAATTGCCTCAGGAGACCTGCCTTCTGGAAACTGGACTTGTTCATTCTTGCTCTACTTATTGTAGCAGCATAGGACCAGATAGGCTGTCACAAATGTGAACATAACTGGGTGGCTTACTGATGTCACTACTTCCTTCTGTGGCTTAAAGAGTTCTTCAGCCTTTCTGTGGAGATATGATTCTGGTTCATTTCCTTCCCTTTTCTGAGCATCACCATCAGCCAGTGGTTGTGTGGAAAGAACAGCCTTCCAGTGATCAGGCCAGCTTGCCCAAAGTGTTTCTACTTGTCCCCACCTTGCTGGTCTTGCCCCATTTCCTCTCTCCTTCCAGATAAAAGAGGAGGTTGGAATGGGGGTCTCTTTGGAAGCAGGCAGCCTAGTGCAGCAGATTCAGGGATTCATGGAATCTGGAATCAGATGGAACACTGAGGTAAAAATATACAAGAAATATGAGGTAGATGAATTCAGGAGGAAAAAGATTCCTGAGGTATTTAAATACCAGCAAGTTAAGGATACTTCAGAAATGAAAAGAGAAACTTGGAGGCTTTGTAAATATGGACATCCAGATAATAATGTGGTAGATTGATCCCTGGCCTCAGAATCTGCAGATGTGTTAGACCTCCCACCCCTCAGACCCCAATTTATTGACACTATGTTGGTAGAGTGGGTTATCTCCCCTTTGAATATGTGTTCTCTCTTACGGTTTCTATTGCTGTGAAGCAATAGAGGAGAGGAAAGGGTTTATTTGGCTTACACTTTGCATTACTACTGATTGTAGTCCATTGAATGAAGTCAGAAAAGGAACTCAAATAGGGCCAGAACCCACAGGCAAGAGCTGATGCAGAAGTCATGGAAGGGTGCTGCTTACTGGCTTGCTCATCATGACTTGCTCAGTCTGCTTTCTTACAGAACCCAGGTCCACCAGCCCAGCGATGGTACTACCCAAGAGGCCCTTCCCTTCACCAATCACTAATTAAGAAAATGTGCTGTACCTTATGGAAGTATTTTTTTTTTCCTTAACTTAGGTTCCTTCCTTTCAGATGACTCTGGCTTATGTCAAGTTATCATAAAACTAAGCAGGATGGGCTCTGAATGCTCGGCTAAAACACTATGGTAGAAAAGATGCTAGACCATTTATTAGCTTAGACTTTAAGGAAACTACCTGGTTCTGCTTCCAATTTCTTAAGCTGGGCAGTTCTGGAATCAGGTATCCTACTGTGAGAAAGCCTAAGCAGCCACATGGCCAGGCTGTGTACAGTTGTACCAGATAATAGCCCTTTTAGAAGTTCCAGCAGTTGCTGCCAAATATGGTCTGGACAGGAATAGATGACCCCAAGCCTAGCTTGAAAGTTTCCTCAGGGAAGGCCCAGACATTGGGAAGCTGAGATGAGTCATCCATTCTGTAGTCATGTTTCCCAAAGCCCTGACCATAGAATCCATTAGTATAAGAGGTTGTTTTTACACTGCAGAGTCTAGAGAGGTTTGCAGTGTTGCCATGGTAACTAGGACAGACCCTTAGAGACATAGCAGTCCAGAATTTTGGGGATGTCTTTGTCATTTAACTTTTTTCCCAGGTATGGTGGCACATGCGTAATCTTAGCATTGGGGAGGCTGAGTCAGCAGACCACGAGTTTGAGATCAGCCTGGGCTGTTTCAAAAATAACTACTTGTAAATGATATAATTATAATTTCAAAAACCAGTTACAATAAAAAATAGTTTAAGTATGTCAATATATATTGTGGGGCATTATCATTCAGACTATCATAGTATTGAAATAGTTTGTAGTTACAGGTACATTTTGGGTTAAAAAGAAAGATTTAGAACAAAAAGAAACTCATAAAAAAAAAAGAAAAACGTAAAAAAAGGCTTCTGCGTTTTCTGAAGTTCTTGTTGAAAACTGTTTTGATAAATAGTTGTAACAACCTCTTTAACTTCAAAAAGGATTTCAACATTAATCCAAATCTTTTGATTCAGGGTCTCTCACTGAACTTGGAGCCCTCTGGAATTCTCCTGTCTCCTCCTCAATACTGGTATTATATGCACATGTCCAATATATATATATATACACATACACACACACACATATATATGTTGTTACTTGAACTCGGGTCTGCCTACATACATGGCAGACATTACCAACTAAGCTATCTCCATACCTCTTGTAGTTTTGTTTTGTTTTCATTTTTATACATATGGCTGTTTTGCCCGCACGATGGGGCTGTTCTGCCCCCACAATGTCCTTATGCATGGATGTACCAACCAGGTGTGAGAAGTGCTCAAAGAAGCCAGAAAAGGGCATTGGATCCCCTAGAACTGAAGTTACAGACAGGTGTAAACTGCCATGTGGATGCTGGGACTCAAACCCAGCAGCTCTGAAGAGCAGCTAGTGCTCTTAACTACTGAGCCATCTTTTCAGCCCTAAGACTTATTTGTATGGTGTTTGTATGTATGTCTGTGGTTTGCATGTATGCAGGTGCCTTCAGAGGCCAGAAGAGGCCATTGGATGTCTTGGAGCACTTGAAATGGATGTTGAGAACTAAACATGTTGAGAACCAAGCTGATGTCCTCTATAAGAGCAACACATGCTCTTAACCATTGAGTCACCTCTCTTGAACACACTGTTTTAATTTAAAAGTTAGAAATGATCTTCATTTCTCCTGAACATTTGTGGATGGCTTAGATAACACTGGGTTTTCTTCACCCATTTCAGTCAGCTCAACTCTGCCTGTGTTGGTGAAGGCATGGTGGGAATCTGTCAACAATACTTCAGACTGACCAGGCCTATGCCAGGCTGAGCCCTGAACTAGGCCAGCTTGAGAGGCAGATATGGAGGCTTTTCATGGGTTTATGAGTAATGCTAAACAATGCTTTTTTAGAGTTCTAACTCTATTCTGTTAGCTCAATATTAAATAATTGTTTTTAAATCATGTAATATTCAGAAAGGCCTGTGTATAGTTATATGGGGGGTGAGTGGTACTTAAGATAGAACCCAGGGCCTGTTCCATTCCAAGCCAGTTTTCTGCCGCTGAACTATGTCCCCAGCCCTTTTTACTTCATTTTTGTTGAGACAGAGTCTTGCACTATATATCCTAGGCTGGCCTTGAACTACAGCCCTTTTGCCTCTGCTTGCGTGCTATGATTACAACTTTACATCACCATTTCTGGGAAGTTCCCCTACCATAATACAAAGTGCATTTAGTTCTGTAAGAGCCTCCAGTGTCTGCATAGTTCATTCTCTTTAAAATCCAAGGTACTCTTTTAACTGTAAACATATATAAAATCAAGAAACAGTTTATCAACTAGAGGGACCTGAGTTTGGGTTCATAGAACACAGTAAATTGTGATATGGTAGTGTTCATCTGTAATCCCAGTGTTCCTAAGGCAAGCTGGAAGACAGAGACAAGGCTTCCCAAGACGCTAATGGGGCCAGCTAGCCAGTCATACTCAGGGACAAACAACAGACCCTGCCTTAAACAAGCTGAAAGATGAGAGGACAGACACTCAAGACTGCCTTCTGACCTCCATATGCACACTGTGGTACCTGCACACTCCCACACAGACACAACTATTTTTAAAAACATACATGGCACAGAGTAAATATTTTCATTCCAAAATGGGCAAATTCAGGCATAGCAAAAAAAAAAAAAAATATAAAAAAAATAAAAAAAAATAAAAAAGAATAAGACTAAAACTTGGTAAATGGCACTTCTTATCCTCACTCCTGGCACCAGTTTTTCTGGTTTAACAACATTTCTCATCAGTAACCAACTACCTAACAAAAGGAGGGGCATAGTTTTGGTGCAACGGTTGAGAGGAATTCAGTCCATCATGGTGGGGAAGGCAAGGTAATGGGAGAAGTTTGGTCTGTAGTACTACCCAGGAAGCAGATACATCAAATGCCTGTGTTCATCTCAAGCCCTATCATTTAAAAGCATCTCAGTCTTAGTGGATAAGAGTGCAAGTATGAGAACCTCAGTTCTGAAACTGGCACTCATATGAAAAGCAAGGCATGGCCACACATCACTGGTCATGTCAGAGGAGCTGCAATTAGAAATGGAGTTCAAGTCATTGAATAGCAAGCAAAACTAAATCCTGGAGAGGTAAAGCTGGGGGGTGGGGGGGTAGGGTGTGTGTGTAGGAGGGTGGACTGTCTCCATAATGACCCCTTGATTCTGCTGTACTTCCTTTTGGTTGCTGCTTCTGTGTTCCTGCTGTGTGTATT